CATTGCAAATCTTATATATCTATATATATAAAAGAAAGTCATGTTAGTTACACTACTTATAACTCAAGAACGGCAGAATAGATTTGGCTGAGAATTGGTAGGGAGGTAGCTTAGAGTCAGGAGACCGACATAGGATACTTTTTAACCAACATTTTTTTTTACTTTTTACCGAAAATCACGAACGGGGACGGGAAAAATTGGGATTACGCGTACGAAGTCGCGGGCAGAAGCTAGTAAATAATATTTTGGTATATAACAATACAACCGACGCTTCCTCGTGCTCTCTGGTTCGGCGAAGGCAGGATTAGTAGACAAGAAATCTGGACATATGCCTCTCAATAATTTCGGATTCATGCATAAACTCGAATTACCCAATTGTGCTGTGCATGATGTTATAGAGGACGTGCAACACATTTTGTATGAGTGTCGACGTAATGAGTCTCAGAGGTATTTAGGTTTAAGAACTCTAATATTGGTTTTTATCACAGTGTTTTAGCGTTAGCATTGTCAACTGGTAACTGTCGTGGTGGCCCGGAGGATTAAGACGCCCACTTCTCATGCATGAGGGTGCGGGTTCGAAACCTACCAACGGCAAGTACCAATGTGACTTTTTCTAAGATTATTTAGACACCACTGACAAACGGTGAAGGAAAAACATCGTAAGGAAACCTGGACTTATAATTTCCAATTATAAGTTTGAAATCGCCAACCCGTATTGAGCAAGCGTGGTGATTAATGCTCTAACCTTCTCCGTGTGAGAAGAGGCTTTGCTCAGCAGTGGGCATTTATAGGCTGTTGATGATGATGATGATTGTCAACTGAGGCTAGAAAATTTGTATCGTTATATTTTATGTTTAAGTTTAAAGGCTAGTTAGACCTATAAACGGCTTAGCTGCTTTATGTATGTGTACGTTTTTCTCTAAGGAAAAAAGCCCTACTTATAAAATAAAGATTAAAAAATAATAATAATAAAACTGAGACTCTGAATAACTTATTGACTTAAATCCTAATAAAAAAGACGTGATAGTTACAGTTTTTTATTTTACTTATGTTTATTTACCCGTAGGTACCTAACTCAAGAACTGCTGAACAGATTTTGAAAAATTTTTTCCCTACCTACTCGTCCGATAACAATATAAAAATGTAGTTCATTAGTTTTCATTAGAAATATAAATTACTTATTTCGTTTGTTAACCTCGTGTTAATATAAAATGCTTCATTTTCGTAGTGATAAGTTTTATTGATAACGCGAGCAGCCTATCAGAGTGGGCGATTCGAAATAGGCGTTTCCTATTAGGTGGTACTCTTTATTAGAGATTGGGGATTGGTCAGCCAAGACCTTGGGGATATTCAGGTTTCTCCCTAACTACAAAGTATTATTAATTTATTCTTGCATGGTTGTCTCCAACCACGTGGTTGTTAGGATAATCGGCGAGCACGTGGTCTCGGGTTCAATCACCGGGCTGGATAAAGTAGATACCTATTAATGGGGATGATGACAGGGTATTAAAATAAAACATCATTCAGTTTAAAATCGTAACGCCCGATTACTGAAAGGCTACACAATTATTTTTTTATGGCATAAGCCGGTAAACGAGCAGACGGATCATGTGGTGATGATGGTAAGCAATCGGCGTCGCCCACGGACACCTGGAACATCAGAGGTGTTACAAGTGCGTTACCGGCCTTTTGGGGATTAGGAGTTTAAGGATCGTTGGGGATTCAGGAATTGGGGAGATTGGAGAAGGGGAGGGTAATTGGGCCTCCGGTAACCTCACTCACACAACGAAACACAACGCAAGCGTTGCTACACGTCGGTTTTCTGTGAGGCCGTGGTATCACTCTGGTCGAGCCGGCCCATTCGTGCCAAAGCATGGCTCTCCCGCAATTTAAATTTGTACTTAAACTGTCAAACACCGAGCGGTCACCAGTGACCGCAACCTATTGTTCTTTAATTGTGTCTACAATGACGGTACTCAACGAGTTAAATATCGTAGGTCGTGGTAGCTCGGAGGTCTAAGACGCTCACATCTCATGCATGACGGTGCGAGTTCGATACCTACCAATATGACTTTTTCCGAGTTATATGTACTTTCTAAGTTTATCTAGACACCACTGACAAACGGTGAAGGACAACATCGTGAGGAAACCTGGGCTTATAATTTCTAATTATAAGTTTGAAATCGCCAACCCGCAATAAGCAACCACGGTGATTAATGCTCAAACCTTCTCCGTGTGAGAAGAGGCTTTGCTCAGTAGTCATTTATAGGCTGTTGATGATGATGACGATGATTACCTATATCATGTGTTTGAGCATTTTCAGTAATTTTATGTACCACTAGTTCTTTTATACTATTTAGGGCTTTAACAATATCTGGATACCCGCTATCTACTAGATAAATTTGAATTAAGTAATTTATATGAACTATCTGTCACATAAATTTATTTTCTGTTAGTCTCATTTTCTGTTTGTATTTGCTATGTTGTGTTAATAATAAAATAATAAGTATTTAAGTGCAATATTAAAGTGGTGTGCAAGTAGTTATTATAGAGGTAGTACTTAATATTATTTTACATAACATAACATAACATCACGCCTTTTATCCCCGAAGGCGTAGGCAGATGTGCACATTATGCCACTGTACAATGTAACACCCACTTTTCACTATTTATGTTATGAGTCCCATGTAATAGGGGGTGAGCCTATTGCCATATACCGGGCACAATTCCAGACTCCGTGCTACTACTGAGATTTTTTTAAAAACCCAGTAACTCCTTGTCCGACCCGGGAATTGAACCCGAGACCCCTTCCGACCACTCGGCATTCGTCAGAAATATTATTTTAGTGCCATATTAAGTTAATAAGTTCAATTTTTTTTAGTAATATCTAGTTTTTAAATATTTAAATGATTGTAACCTATAAATTTTAACTGTTGAATATATCTACGTGGAACTATAGGTAGGTGGACCTGGGCTGATCAAGTATGCCGCATGTTAGACGAGCAGTGAGCAAAACTTACTACTGAGTGGTGCCCACTCAACGTCAATAGACGTCGCGGCAGGCCCAAAAGGAGATGGCGGGACGAAATGGACATGTATATGACAAGGATTGGTAGCAAAAAGCTTCACATAAAAATGAGTGGAAGGAGGGTAGGGTGGCCTTTGCCCTGCAGTGAGGCGATCATGGCTGAAAATAAAAAAAAATAATAAAAAAAATTGGAAATATGATGTCTAAAAATAATAACAATTATTCCTATTAATTTGTAAGTAGAGTAAGTACTTTTGCGGTGCCCAAAACGGCCTATAGTTGGAACACATTTTGTCAAAAAATTGTAAACCAAAGTAAATTGGAATAAGTTGGTAAACGAGCACACGGATCACCTGATGGTAAGCAATCGGCGTCGCCCATGGACACCTGAAACACCAAAGGTGTTACGCAGGCGTTACCGGCCTTTTAGGGATTATTAATTTGAGGATTATTGGGGACTCGGGGATTGGGGAGATTGGGGAGGAGGGTAATTGGGCCTCCGGTAATTTGATAAGTGATTTGATTTTTTATATCCGAAGTTTGTTTAGCTCCTCAAAAAATTTTTATAAAAATTCCTTATCTTTATAGGCACCAAATTCCATTCAGCACAATCACATTCTGACTATATTTCTATAAATAGTTATCTAAATATCCCACTATGGGGTTGCAATTAAACTTCAACCCCGGACGTAGCTCTACTACGGAACTGGTACGATAAGTAACTCTACATAGAGTGGGTAGAGTCGGTAGAGTCCGGTTAGTGTCACGTACCATATTGTCTGATACTGCTTGACCTCATTATCCGGTATGAGTGTGTTATGAGAGGGAGCGAGGAGGTCTTCTAGATGATGAAACTGATTTAGGGAGGGTCGTCATTATTAATCTACTGTTTCTTATCTTCTTCAAAACGTATTTTATTTGTAACTGTTGCTTTTTTTTAAACTGTCAAACACCGCGAGGACACCGGTGACCGCAACCTATTGTTCTTTAATTGTGTCTATAATGACGGTACTCAAAGGGTTAATTATCAATATTTTTTTTATAATTTTTAATAATTATTCTACCTGTTCTAATTGAAATGAATGACTTTTGACTTGGACTTTGACTTCGTTATTGATTTTGACTTTGACTTTGCTTAGTAAATTATTTATGATATGAGAGTGTAAGTAGAAAATATTAATTTTCAATTTTTAGCGACGTATCGACGAGGAAATTTACATAGTTCATGGCTAAAGGCCGGCAACACATAGTTGACAAGAACGAACACTAATTATATGTCAAAAAAGACACATATTTAACAAATACAATCTCGTTCTTATTTGCGTAAACTTAAAGGGTAGAACTTTTGATCAGAAAGAATGTTACACTTGTATATAAAAATACACAGGTATGAGCATAGGAGTTTATGACTTTCAGTGTATATTTTATACCTATTCGAGAACTAATATTATATTCTTACTTGATCTACATTTTAATGGATAAAAGAAATGAATCATAAGAATGCAACTTCCATACGATATGTTATCGTCGCAGCCTCGATTTATAAATAGAAAATCGCTTTCGCCTATCACGCAAACCTCCACTCTACAACTTAAACGAGGCGAGACTTTGTCCCGAGACATTACTAGACAGGGACAGAGCGACAAACAGCAAAACAACATCAAAAGCTTTACACAATCGTAAACAAGAGGAAAACACAATAAGGGACAGTGAAACCGACGATTTATGATGCGCCGGCGCACGCAAGTCCATTGTCCACCGCTCGACCTCCGGGGAACAATGCTCCGATAAAACATGAAAAAAATCTCAACGGAACACCCCCAGAGAGCGCGAGCCTGCGCGTACGCATCGTATATTAATCCGTGTATTTTTTCACGCGTGTCAGTTGCGCGCCTCCCGTCGCCGTCACCGCACGCATGCGTCTCGATCTCCTCTACTATTTCAATTGTCTGCGTCGTAGGAATTTACCACGATGGGTAAATTACTGAGTGTGATCGTGTTTATTCTAGTCAGTAGTTGTTTAAGTTTAAAAGGGGAGTTGTTAATGAGTTACTGTGCTAATTGCGCGAATGGAGACCTGAGTGTGACTGAGTTGACTCAGGCGCGGATAGAGTTCGTGAAGCAGCAGATTTTGAAGAAGTTGCGGTTGAGTAAGAAGCCGGCAGTGGCTCTGCCTGTGAACAGTCTGCCGATGCCAGTAGCGCAGGGTCAGACCCTGAGTGAAGGAACCAGCAAGCCACCAGAGTTCGATGACTATTACGGTCGAACTGAGCAGAAGATTATATTCCCAGTTGAAGGTAAGATACTTTCTCTAATCATTTTGAATTATTTAGTATTTTATTTTTACTCTGAGAACTGTGTTAACCATGTAAATAGATTAATTCGTGTAGAAAAATTGTCAATTTTTTGTCTCGGTATTATTTTTTATGCTATAATGCTAACAGACTATAGTCAGTAATAGATTGCTAATGCACTAAGTTTTGCGCGCGCAAAAATATTATACCTTTTATTTTATAGTTTTAAAATATTTACACAGACTGTTAACAACTTCTTATTTATTTATATTTGCTAATTAGAATTACTCTTTCAAAGTATGTAATGAGGTATCTAAAAACTGAATTTAAATTAGACATAATATAAAGCCCTACCTTTTTAATTTCTCAAGAGGTAGGCAGAGATACTCATGACTTTTTATATACACATACATAGATTATTAGTAGGATTTATGGTAGTTGACGTTAATATACCAGTAGTGGCATAATGTTTTGTTATTTACGTAGTTGACTAAACTTCGCAGGTGTGAACTATTGAGTTTAAAGTATTATATTCAATGCAAACTTGAGGAAAATATACTAACTTAGTTCCTTGTAATTTAAAAAGTAATGAATACATATCAAAATAAAAAAGTAGCATACATTTGTTTTATATATTTTCAAAAAACTTAGTATGTGTTTATGTATAGATATACGATTTGTTTCGTTTGCAATTGCAGAAATACATTTCTTTTACCTTCTAAAAATCACACTAATATTATAAAAGTGAGAGTTTCTTTGTTTGTATGTTTGTCCGTCAATCACGCTGAAACTACTGAACGGATTTTGATGAAATTTGGTATACATGCAGGGTATGGGCTGACTTAGGTGATAGGATACTTTTTATCCCGATTAAATGCTCTCTTTGGATAAAACAGAAATCATATTCTACGTGGACGAAGTCGTGGGCAACAATAGTTTTAAGTATAGGTATAAGTATTTAGCAAAATACCAAAAGAATAATAGTAAATAATATCTAAGTGTCTAAATAAACACTAGGTTACTAGGTGTAACAAGTAGGTCTCCTAATAATGATGTAACAATCACATGCAGTTACCGGTCATAGTAACGGGCGCGCGGGAACCGAACTTTGTACCTCCCATTGCACGATGTAACAACGTGCTACTAGGAATGCGAGAATGTGATTTTTTTAGCTAATACTACAAAAAATATAAACATGGACTTTGTACAGACAATACTGTGTCAGAAAAAAATATGTATGTCAATAAAGATGAAGTTTTGAGTTGTCAAATAATCACATTTTTTTAATACATGTTCGATGAGTCCAAAGTACAAAGTCCGATTTTTAATAAGATAATGTTACTTACATTAATTTAAATTAAAAATCTTATGCTTTCTGATAAAATTACTAACACATGTCAAATGTCAATTTTTTTTGTAATACATATATATAATTAAGTCGTTTGCTTATCTGCTCACCTCTATTAATATAAGCAGGGCGTGATGAACCTATGTTATTTTTTTAATTCACGGAACACGCTCTCAGCGTGCGAATTTTAATTTTTAACCTAATGTCATGACATGACCTTAATTTAATAAAAACAATATTATATTTTATTTATGAAAATTTTCATTGACAATTGGTTTATATACGATACAATACTATATTATAGCAACTGTTTCTCTCCAGGGGGTAGGCAGAAGCGTAGGTAAAATTACATTGACTTGTACTTTTTGATGTTGAAATTGTCATGGCTGATTATTAGCTTACTTCAACAATATTAACAGGCTGTAAAACTTTAGTATTATTCTACAAGTCTCCTCAACATAATAGGATTTAAAATTTATAAATGAAGTAAATTTAAAAACTAATTAGATAGACCTATTACTCGTTGGCCGAGTGGTCACAAGTGCGACTGCCGGGGTCTCGGGTTCGAGTCCTGGGTCGAGCAAAGAATAACTGAGTTTTTTAAATAAATCACAGTAAGTAGTAGCACGGAGTCTGGAATTGTGCCCGATATATGGCAATAGGCTCACCCCCTATTACATGGGCCTCATAACATAAATAGTGAAAAGTGGGTGTTACATTGTACAGTGGTATTAAGTGCCCCAATGTGCACTTCTGCCAACCCCTTCGGGGATAAAAGGCGTAATGTTATGTTATGTTACATTAAAAACTAGTTGTTGTTATAGGTACGCCGTTTTATGAATAAATTTGTTTACAATATTTAAGGTCCTTCAACTTTGTGACCGCATTATGAAGAAAACGGTGAATGATAATTTATCATATTTATATTTATATAAAACTAGTTCTGTTCATCCGTTTTGTTTATTATTCATACAATGTGACGTAAAATACATAACTGTTCTTTGGTGGTAACGCGTCACGAAGTTGTGAGTTCGATAACCAGGCCGGGAAAATGTCATTTATTGGGTTTTTTATTTTTGCCTTTGTTATGTTTTGTTTAATAGCTTTACTTGAGTCCCTTATTATATTGGATTATAACGTTGATAAGGGGGTTATGCGACTGTCTTGTAAGTTGTTAATCTATGGGGGTTCCAGAGCAGGTCTATTATAGAGGACCCGGTGCCCCCCATAGGTGATGAAGGTGGCCACCGGGGTGGTTTTAGTGAGGTAAGAATACCACACTCCCTAGTCTTTTTTTTATCCCCAAAAGAAGTAGGCGCCTTTTAAAGGTTTCCCCCTGTTATTAAAAAAAGGTAGGTTTTGAGTTCGATTTTTAACATCGACGGAAAGTATTGGTTTTCCCGATATTACGGCACGTAAAAAAGGAATGGTATCATGTCCGATTTCCGAATCCGATGTCCGATCGGTCATCGATTAAATTGCAAAAATTAGCTATCAAGAAGTGCATACAATTGGGTACAGTCTACCCACCTCATTCGCGATAAAAACCATAACAATACGCCAAGGAAATCTAATAATAACTTCTTTGATATAAATAGTACCATTGTTTATATGGTAATTACTTAATTGGTTAATCAGTAAAGACTGGTGACGTAAGCACTGATTCAGTATCAGTCGCACGTCACTGACCAGCTGTTTTGCTGACAATACGTCAACTGCTCAGTCTGTCAGTTAGTTGGGCTTCCCTAAATTTTATCGTTTGTGTAATATGAATCATAGTTTATTTGTTATTTGTCTGTAGATATCGGTTCGATTCTAGGATCCGGTTAATATTGTGTGGCTTTTTTTTTAAATTTTGAATTCATTTTATTATACTATCGCAAAACAGTTACGTGTGTTTTGAAATGATTTTAGTTCAAGTTTATATTTTGTTGCAATTTTACTGTACGCTTAAAATCTTATATATTTATTTTACTTACTTATTGTTATTGATAAGATGTTTCAGAATACTTCCTAATCATAAAATAAATTATTTTATTACTTTATATCATTGTAGGTACATGCGTCTTGTCTTCGTATAGGTTATAAAGGGTAGTATAAACATAACAAAGAATGTTATATCACGGCGTATAACGTAATATATATAAGTTATAATATTTAACATTATGCCTATATAATCATCATGATTCAACAATACAAAGATTTTTTTATAATTATTATTATGCCTAAACTGATACACATGTGAATATTTTAATTATCTTTTAGATAAATGTCAGTTCCTGACCCATATATCTTTGTATATATTACAAATATTTACTACTTTGTTGTAAAATAGGTGGATTGTAAGTTTTCTGATACGAAGACTATGAATTGAGACGCAGTTTTACAAGATTATTTATACTACGATTGTATTGTTTTATATATTGTGGAGAGTCATCCTGTATTTGTTGATCGACTTAAAATTTAAAAATTGTCAGCTGTCATTGACATTTTGTTGACTTTATGATATAGGAAGCTTTTCTCTGTGTCTTAACATAACAGTGTTTGGTTATAATATATTTGACAAAAAGTACCTCTAGAAAGACGTTTTTCCTTCAGAAATTAAAGAATTTAATTTTATATAGAGGTATACTAGGTCGTTACATAAATAAACTTGAACAATATCAACTGCCTTCCTAAAAATAAGTTAGGACAAAACCACAATACACCATCATTGCCAAGCAATATTATTATATATTAGGTATTTATACACGAAGAATGTGTCTAATCATAATATTATAAGTTTATATATAACGTTGAAGATAGTATTGTGCATTCGTTATAATATTAGTCATAGTGTGTTAATTGCCTGTATGTAATTATTCGCTTCAAGTCTTCCTGCTTTCTTGATAAGGCAAATTATAATATAATATATTTGCTAAGAACGCTGTTAACCTGATTGTAACAGAGTAACCTATGGAGTTTTTTGCACATTCTTCTCTATTGCAATCTACCTCATTTTTGCCTCATACCGACTCTAACTCATCCAACTAGAGTTTCACTGATCTCAATTCACAGTTCAAATCGAATATATAATTATATTATTTTGATGAATAATTAGTCGCATATTAATTTTAAATACCATCCTGACATACTCATTATTATTATTTTTTATGGCAGACGGATCACCTGATTGTAAGCAATCGGCGTCGTCCATGGATACCTGGAACACCAGAGGCGTTACAAGTGTGTTACCTTTTGGGGATTAGGAGTTTGAGAATTATTGGGGATTGGGGAGATTGGGAAAGGGGGAAGGTTATTGGGTAATTTTATGTCGGTTTGTTTAATTCTTTGATTTGTATGAATTTGATTGCGCTTTTGAAAATGACACGCGGTTTTTAAAAATTCTAATACATTCACATTCTATATTAGTATTTTTCCATTAATTAAAAATAAAATATGACACGGAACTGTATTTTAATTAATTATATCGAAGTGGGACGGGAGAGGTAATAAAAAACTTGGTTGGTTTGAACCCTGATCTGTCACTAATTAAACTAATTTGAATGTTATCAGCTGTTAACGGAGTCAAGTGATAAACCCTCTTTCTGAGGCCATTCATCAGTTTATTGTAATTAGGAGTATATTGTGCTTATAAAATTAAAATAAGTACGCCGTAGTACGCGTAGCCGGATTATAAAAATTACGTAGCATTCGTAGTAGGATTATAAAAATCTTGTAGCACTCGTAGCTGAATACTAAAAGTTTCGTAGCACTCGTAGAAGGATTGTAAAAATTCGTAGCGAGCGTAGTAAAAATGCGTAGCGATTTTGTAACGTATTTATTGACTTAGAAGTTTAATATTATATCTTGTACCATGAAGTTTAATATTGTATTATAAATTTACTTACGTATTTAATATCACAGGAAAATTTTTAGGATATAAAGTTGATTGAATCTATTCGTCGCGTTAAATATTTTTTTAGTTTGGTACTGAAATAATACAATTGGTGAAAAGTGGCCGTCACATTGTTTAATTATAACTTTATTTCTGCTTCACAGTTTGAATACTTAAGCGCATGACGTTATGTATAATCTCATACCATTATTCACAAACTTACCAAATAACAAAACCGTCTAAAGAATAATCATACGGGCTACGTATATATATGTATAGAATCCTCGAACATAATAAACAAACCACGTTTAAGATTTAACTGTGCTCTTTAAGTATCCCGTTTATCTATTTAGCACCTATTCATGATCACGCGCAGCTCGGCTGCTGTACGATAAACGTGACCTCCCCGGTAACCGCTCAGTGTTGATATATTTGTAATAAGAACAAAAATTCATTGTGAAAAATGTATGTTTGTAGATAATTATGTGTGTAGAATTTGTAATGCAATAGGATCAAAACATGGATATGGATTTCTTAAAAAATCAAAGGGTCTATCTAGCAGTCACTGGGGAAGCCCTTATGTTTGGCAGTGTACGTCTTGTAAATATGAAGATGATGATTTATAAATTACTAGCGACCCGCCCCGGCTTCGCATGGGCGCAATATGCATGTATTATACATATAAACCTTCCTTAAGAATCACTCCATCTATTAAGAAAACCGCATCAAAATCCGTTGCGTAATTATAAAGATCTAAGCATACATCCCTATGTATGTAGGACAGACAGGCAGCGGATAGCGACTTTGTTTTAAACTATGTAGTGATGTAGACCCTAGAATTAGTGTCATTACCATAAAAAGTCTAAAAATGCATATATTTCGCTCTGTGCCAAAACTATCTCCACACCAAATGGTATAAAAATCAGTCCAGTAAATTGTTATCTAGAGACAGAAATGAATCACTAACTTGCTGGATACTAGTCCCTTATAATAATGAATTGTCATTTATATAATATATAACTTCTCATGAGAAAATAAACATGACTGTGAGTAATGCCAGTATATAAGATCTTAGTAATATATAATATCATAATGAGCGCCAATTAATACTGTTTACCTCGAAAACGTATAAAAAGTCATTTGATAAACAAACAGACAAGTAAATAGTTTTATCTAATTAATTATATATAAGTATTTACTTCGGATGAGAATAATATTGACAGTATAACAGTTAATTTTATCTTTTTAAACGAAAATTCTTTTGTAAATAAGGAAGTTGGAAGATTATTTGAGTAAATAGGTTTTTGTTACTCGGGCTCATAAACAAAATACAGTATTTTATCGGGGGTAGGTATTTTTAATTGATATTAAGACAATTTCAGCAAAGTTTTAACGTAATATTGATATGAATATTCATTGTACCTAGTATCACGCGTACTTTTAAATTCATCACAAATGTAATTAATTTTTTTCAATATATTTTTGAAGAACAACAATTATGAAAGTAGTTAAAAAAATATAACCTTTGTTTTTTGAGGGGGGAAAAATCATCCAATGACTTCTCCCGCCCGGGTGACTGTTATTAGCTAATGGTTTAATAAGAACACAAACTGATTTAAACAGATTTTTAATTCGTGTTTTCTAGTACAGTTATTAAATGTACTGTCAAAATAAGAGGAAAAACGTGAAATTAATATTTGTCAACAGTGTTTAAGTTTAAAATACAATTAAATATATGTCAATGTCCTTTTTATAACAATGTTGTTTTAACCTGACCCCACCACATACTATCTTTCTTTATTAGTTTTTTCAGTAAAAAATGCAAGTCACAAGTCGTCTTATATATCACAGCGACTAGCAGATTAACTACACCAATTTGACAATACGTTTCATTGTATTTCTAACTTTAAACCAAAACAACAAGATTGAAAATCGAATAAAGAAATTTGAGAGAAAAAAGTAACTTATTCTGCAGCAGTTGGAGTCTGTACCTCGTCTTAATTGACTTGCGTTCTTGTAAGAACAGAGATCAAAAACTTGTTTATTGCTTTATTTATGTTACAAACAGGTACTTGTTATTGACCTTACTACATTACTGTGACATCTCCGTATCGGTTATTAATTGTACAGACTTCAGTGAAACTGTTATCATCTGTTACCGGATACTGTAATATCAGGAGATCACAATATCGTGCTGTATTTGGACTTTGATATTCTTAATGAAAGTGATGGCTGACTCATGGTCGTTTATCATTATTTCTTCTAATTGTAGCACGGATTTGAATATTGGGGAATTTGTACTGAGCTTACATTGAGTCTCTATTATGTTGTAAAATCGATCGGTTGAGTTAAACAATAATTATTTACTAAATAATTGGATCCAATTATCGTTGAAGAATGTTAAGTTATAATTAAACTTATCTGCCGCCTGTCACGTATATCTTATCAAACAATAAACATAATAAATCCATCCAAAGCTTCTGATTGAGAGGGCCATCAAAATGTGTATATTATTTATATTTATACAACTCAATAAACAATTATTTTTTAATATTCTTATTTATTGTGAATAATAAAAGAGTATAGTAGTCGTTTTGATAACGTACCTACACATGTTCGCCTGTTATCGCGTGGAATGCCCCAAGGGTCGCTCCTTGGTCCAATTAACATAGGTCATATTAAACCGTGTGTATTTCACGTACCTAACACATAGTTAATGTTCTTTACTTTGTTTTAAACAGGTATAGAAGACATTTAGTTGCTTAGTAATATTTGACCTCAAGTTTAGATATAAAAGTAAGATAAAATCATGTTGTAAATATTTTTGTTTGAAAGCGTAAGTTACCAAGTGTTTGAAAATATTGTTCGTCGTTGTTACTGGGTGGTTTTGACCTCTCAAAATAAGATTATATTGTTATCATTCACCTAAACATAATATTACTTACTTGTGTTTTTACTTAAAAGTGAAGATATGAAGGTATACTACCGGATATATTTTATTATGAGACTAGCTTTTGCAAGCGCTTCGCTCACGTTATCGTGAGACGAAAAGTACTCTTTCTACTGTAGAAATCTATTGCTGTTTTAAATTGCATCCGGATCCCTTCAGTCGTTTTGGCGTGATTGAGTAACAAATACTTGTGTATTTGAGTTTCTCTCATTCATAAAGTGTCATATTTATATCCTTACTATAATCCTTACTAATATTATAAATCGGAAAATGAGTTTCTTTGTTTCTTTGTTTGTTCCGCCTTCACGCCCTAACAACTAAACCGATTGCTTAGGCTTATTAAATAGGGTACTTTTTATCCCGGAAAAATTTGATATTCCCGAGGGAAAACAAAAGTATTGGTATAGATGGCGCTGTATGTATTGGTATATGTCACATAGGCTACTTTTTATCCTTCTGTGACGCGAGCGAAGCCGCGGGTAAAAGCTAGTTGAAGTGGTCAACCATATCAAATACCAGTTTTAAATTAAAAATAAGAACGTGCAAGCATATAATCCATACTAAAATCTCAATAATACTTTCCCCGACTCTTCCCATCGAAACAGCGTCCATGTGCATAATTAAATAATTTGTCATACGTGTTAAATTTAATTAAGCAAAAGATTATTTTTAAATTACGTATTTCACTACAGTTATGGTTCTTCTAATCTTATAATTGATTATCTAAATATTGATTGTTATTTAATTTATTGTTAATATTTTTAATTGAGCATATATGTAGATACATTATTATTTAATTATTCTCTAATCTACCGCACGTGTAGTTATTTGTGCAAATTAGAATATTCAAGGGCTTATCGATATGCGTTATAACTCGATAGTATTATAATAATATTTGTTACTATGAAACTATAATGAAAGAGAGAGCATAGGATAAGACTTGATTTAGACTTTTTTATCAGTTCTAAATGAATAATGCGAAATAATCACAAAAAAAACTAGAAATGGAATGTCAAGCTTGCAGTATGATAGTGGATCCGAACTTTGTCTGTTTATTGCAAGATCGTATTGTATAAACTGGGTACATATCTATATCTATACCTCTATATATATATAAGAAAGTCGTGTTAGTTCCACCACTTATAACTCAAGAACGGCAGAATAGATTTGGCTGAATATTGGTAGGGAGGTAGCTCAGAGCCAGGAGAACGACATAGGATACTTTTTAACCAACATTTTTTTTTTTACTTTTTACCGAAAATCACGAACGGGGACGGGAAAAATGGGATTACGCGTACGAAGTCGCGGGCAGAAGCTAGTTATTTAATAGAGATATCAGTCCTTCTATGATCATTTTTATGCACTAAATCAAACTAGATATTCTGTGCAATATGTCATTATTGTGGTCATGTCAAGTCTAAACCTGTTTCTCTTTTTTCCAGGTGAATGCCTGACGTCAGGGAGGTATCCATTCAAGTGTCTGCAGTTTGAACTGCCTCCTGATGTGGAGCCTGAAGATGTCAACGTGGTCGAGTTGTGGTTTTATAAGGTATGTATTGTATACTCTTATTTCTTTAGTGTAATTTGCTAGTAGACCTTATGAGGTAGCTAAATTGTGAAATCTTATTGAAGAATTGTTTTACTGGATAGTGATCTGTTAATCTATCTGGAATACGTAAAATAGTGTGTAAGTTTTTTTATTGAGAAGAGTATTTTTGTAAATATCCAAAGCAATTAGGATCGACGACAATGACAGGTACTTTCTTAAAAACCCAATACTTCTAGAATACAAAACGTAACTCATAAAACATAAGACACATTTTAATTGTGAACATGGTGACATTTCCTAGCAAAACCACTTGACCTATTCTAACAATATCTTTATAATTTCTAGGAACGCGATCCACTAGACGAATACAACCAAACCTTCGTGATATCAGAAGCAGCGCACTGGGACAGCCAGCAGCAGTTTAAGAAGACCAAACCTATAGCCATCAAGGAGACCAATATTGGTGAAGGCTGGGTGAGAGTGGAGCTGGCGTGGGCGGTCAGAGTATGGTTAGAAGGCAGGGAGAGGCTGCACACGCTGCATGTCGCTTGTAGAACTTGTCAGGTAAGTCGGAGTTGATGTATTTTTTCACAAAACAGAAAAATAGTAACATCACGCCTTTTATCCCCGAAGGGGTAGACAAAGGTGCACATTATGCCACTGTACAATGTAACACCCACTTTTCACTGTTTATGTTATGAGTCCCATGTAATAGGAGGTGAGCCTATTGCCATATACCGGGCACAATTCCAGAGTCCGTGCTACTACTGAGATTTTTTTTAAAACCCATTATTACTTTGCCCTACCCGGGAATCAAACCCGAGACCCCTTGCCCGGCAGTCGAGCAGAGAAAAATAGTAATAATTTCATAATTATCTCTGGTAATAGTATAATCTTCTTAAAGATAAAGTAATATAACTGACTGAGCGGTTAGTCAACCGCCTACTGCACAATTGCGTGTTTGGACCTGACACGGGATAATTATTTGTGTGATTTACAAATTGTTGTTCCGAGTCTGGGTGTGATGTGCATGCAAAATTGTGTTTGTAAAAGTATCTACGATAAATGGGAAAACCGTAGTGTAGGGCAATTTAAAAAGATTCACGATACAACGTAAGAAAAGCGTAGTTATAAATGGAATGAAATGTGAAAGCTGTTGGGTTTGATTCCTTTAAAGGGATATCAGTATCACAGTTTTTCTTTATACCTAACAGTCATGTACGCTAACGTGGTTTCAAATGAGTTTAAATAGTTTTTGTAACAGTCATACACACATTTTTTTCTTCTTCTTTCTTGTAAAGTTGTTCGCAAATACGGTTGCGGCATCAATAGCAACATTAGCCCACCAACAAAAAACCACCATTAATTAAAAAAACAACAAAAAACTTACCTTACTATTCTTCTTCCACAGCTACGCCGAGCCCCTCTCTCCTTTCACGAGAAACACAGACCATTCCTGGTCCTCTACACCAAGTATGCTGGCAAAAGAAGAAGAGGGAGAGCTCTGGAATGTGGAGCCACCACCAGCGAGTGCTGCAGGGAACCGCTGTACGTGAGCTTCAAAGAACTCGGCTGGGATGACTGGATCATCAAACCTGATGGCTACCACGCATACTTCTGCAAGGGATCCTGCACCCCGATATCTGCGTTAGCAAATACTGATAGTTATCATCATAATATTTTAAGAGTAAGTTTTACTTTTTTGTTATTTTTTCAACTTTTTGAATTTTGTTAGTTTGATTAGTCTAAGAGCCACTCCTTGACTCAACAGATATCTTTTATTTATAAAGAAATTGGCATCTGATAGTTAATGAATAAAAAACTCTAAATTACTTCTCCGATAAAGTCTCAATCAATCAGTTCTCCAGTACATATATTAACCTATTTTTTAATAGCCAGATAACTGGAATATAAAGTTGAAATTGGAAACCTTAATAATTATATACTTGACCCAATTAAAATTATTACTTCATGCAATTAATTCCTCCTAGATTTCAATGTCATAATTATCAGCCAATTGAGGGCATTATTAATTAGCATTACTTTAAATGACACCTATGACCATTTTATTAACAGTAACTTCTTTCTTTACAGAAACTCTATGAGGCAACTAACAAAAAAGCAGAGTTCAAGCCATGCTGTGCCCCCACTACGTTTAGCTCTCTACAATTACTCTACATGGACTCTACTAACACTGTCACGCAGAAGACTCTACCCAATATGGTGGTAGAGTCGTGTGGATGTATGTGAGAATGGATGTTCTGTTAGTTTATAGATGAGTGTGGATGTTGCAAATGTGTTTAGACTGTTGGTAATTTGATAGTGAAAAATGAATCGTTTCTAAATGAAAAGCATATGGTTTCAGGGTAGAGAGTTATTGAACAAGAATGTCGAATATTCTTGAATTTTAATCAAGTTCATCCTCCGAAATCATCAATCATATGATTGACGTTATCTTTCGTTCATTAAATTTATTATAAGACACAACATCTCTACCCTAATTTTGGTCATTTTTTTGAATTACAAGTAAAAAACATGAAATAAAATCAAGATATTCTATTTTATACAACAGTCGTTATGTGATGTATGTATGCGTGTATAGTAGGTATAAGATGTGTATTTTTGTGTATTTTGTAAATATTGTGTAGTTTTTAAGACAAATGTGATATTGTGTAGTGTCGTTGCGTAGTTATAGGAGTAAGTGACAAAGAAGTCAAGTAGTATTTTGCTATACATACTAATATCATATATTATACAAAAGATGAAACAATTAAAAAACAGTACCTGTCGACAGATTAAATAAACACTTGGAGACTAAAAAACTAGTTTTCAAAGTGAGTAATATAAATATGTAGCAAAGAAATCTATTTCCTACCTATGACAATTGTTTTGAGTAGCCATAATCTAAAATTTATATTCTTAATTCTACGTATAATTTTGATTGTATACATTCCTTTAAATATGTAAGTCCACAGCGACAATGCAGTGTACCTAACATTTTTTGTGTAATTTTAAAATATGTTTCACAATTTTTCCTAATTTGTTTATTGACTTTACTCCTATAATTACGTAAATTAGCAAATATATTGTGATTGTAAGATTAATTTAACTATAACCAGTGCATTTATTTTATTTATATAACTTCCGTTATCATGACAATTTGTTATTTTGTGTCTGTGTTGGATATCTTTATAAAGTTTCATTTTTATGTGATATGGCTTTATATTTTCAACTACAAGTGAAAATACTAGTATAAAGGTGCTCCCACACAGTAGTTATATAACGTTAGATACTGACTTATCATTTATTTTTAAACAAATTATAACAGATGTTGTAGAAATATCGTGTTACACAATGTTGTATGACGCGGCGACTGTCGCGCTGCTACTGCGTCGCAGGTCGCGAAATACTGCTCATGAATATGAGCCTCTAGCACGGCTTGAAACTAGTCGAGTTTCTCTTCAAATAATTATGTGAGTAAGCCGAAAACATAATAATTTATTTAGTATGTCTCACGAAAGTTATAATAAAATGTTGTATAAAGTTATGTAACTGCTGTGTGAAAGCGCGGGACCTTTATAAATATAAGACTATTTACCTAAAATATTAGCCGATGTTATACAGTTTCAAATGTACTATGGTCAATTGTAGAGTAATAATGATAATAGTGACCACGATTTCATTGATGAAAAAATATAGCTTTGATTATTTATCTTTAGAATGCTTTATTTCCAATAATTTAAAGCCTGTCAAGAGTTTAATTTAATTTTCATTATATTATTTTTTGAAGTTCGTATTAAATTGAGATATTTACGTTAATTATAATGTAAATGTTAAGTATGATAAATTATCAAACTTTAATTATAATATACTTAGTTTAATTCAAAATAATTACTTTTAGGATATATTTCTGTAAAGATATGTTCCTATGAATTATATTAATAAGTTGTACTTTGGACCAACAATAACTGCGAATTATTCATAATTTTTGAATTGTATTTTTCTCCAGAAAATGAAAATATATTGCGTTAATTTAAGCATTATAAAATATGTATTGTTGGTCTAAACCTAATTAGAACTATTAATTAGGTATTTAAACTAAACACAGGTAGCTATTTTCACATATTTTAAAAACCAACTTATATATAGGCATATTTGTTCAAATATCTGCTTTAAAATCATATCAGTCTAAAATAACTTTCAAACATTCAATTTAGAGTATATTTTGTATTATCGACTGTTCATTAATCACCAATGTTGTACAAATATGTCAAGTATGGTTATTAAATCTTTGTTTCTTTATATTTTTGTAATTGTGTGGAAAAGATTTTTAATTTTGAAAATGTACTTAAATGGTCTTGTCCCAGTTTTTAAATTAATTTAATTAAAATTAATTTGTCACAACGGTGTCTAAGTATTATAGTGTAAGACAATATAATTTAGATACAAAAATATTGAGAATAAAAACTATGATAGGTAAGTATTTTTTAATCTGTTGTTTTATTCCTTTTCATTTTAATTTTTGTCATCAGATTTTATCGGCCAGAATAAAATATGGCTGCTTGACTTTTAAGAGGGTGTGGCACAATCCTCATACCTGGCAGATGAGATGGTAAATCATCAAAAAGTTAGGGAATCCCTTTTTGAAGCAGTATCGGGATCATAGGCTTAATTAATACAATCATAGAGGTACACGCCTACAATGTAAGACACTATTAATCAGTGGCTCAGATCTGTTGCCAAATACTGCAGTTCTATGATATTACGAAAAAAACACAATAATCCCCCTTACACACTAGCGGTTGACCGCCTAGGCGGTTCGTATCAACAGACGCGGTTGCATATTAAATTGGAAAAGCGGTCAACCGCAGGGAGCGGCTAGCTGCGCGGTTGACCGCCAGTGCGTAAGGGGGCTACGAGTTTGGGAGAGCCCAATCGATTCGGAACTTCTTGCGTGGGAGTAGCACTTACGACCTTAATTACCAAACGAGACTTATCAATTTTGAGGTACATAAAAATAAAACAAAATATAACGACACAGAACACGTTTAATATTGTAGAATATTTCATTAGCCACAGATCACAAAGGAAATGCATCACTATACAGTATACAGCCAGTAGGCGGGGTCTACATTACTTACAGCTAAACATACGTGCAAACCATCCATTTATATTAAAATACTTTTTATATAACATCCTCGATTTTTTTTAGTATTTTGGTTGTTTTTATACAACATACGTTATGAGTTTTATATAAGCTTTAATACGAAAAGTTTATAAGCTTGTCTTCTGAGTAGGCTGAGGTCATGCAATGATAATTGACACGTAATTCTTTCGGAATAATAATTTTAATTATTGTATTTTATTTACTTTTTGATTTTGAACATAGTTCATACAGTTTTTAGTAAACATATTATTCATTATACTGAAATTTATGATTTAGATTAGGTAAGTTAATTATATATCTATAAAAAAAGTAGATTAAACAATCACTCCTTGCTTTATTATATAGAACTTAATACAAATAACCTCATTGTTATTTGTTTTTATTTAAAACAACCATAATACTAAATAAAAAACCGAATCACAAAAAACACAAATTAAATAAAGAGGGTGACCAGACAACACTCTCGTTTTCTTGTATATTATTATTATTTATTAAATAATATTATTAAAAATCACAGAATTTGAGGATACAAACATGTCCGAAAGCTTTTGGAGTCTATAACAATATTATTTGGACTGCTGATAATTTGCTTTTTTATAACGCAAAACAGCACAGCAAGATACTCCAAAAAGGTAAAAAATTCAAGATTCTCGACACTATTGCACTTATGATAAGGTTAAAAATCTATTAAAGATATTGGTGAAGCTTGCATTTGCTGTATGCACATGTCAGTATTAGAATAAGCTAGAAAAGAAAGATAGTTTTGTCAAAGTATTGTTGTAATTGATTAAATATCTTTTTGGCTAGACTGTATTATAAAATGAACTGTATTGAGTTTTAACAAAATAGTCTTGGAAGATTTCCAGTCAACCTTTTTTGGGGAATTATAGAATTATCTAAAATACTTTACTTTATCGATTGATATATTTAATAGAGAGAAAAAATCAATATTGTAATATTGTCTTTGAAGATTTTTGAGTAAATTTTAAATGAGTCTAGCCAAAAGTATAGTCAAGGTAGCTAAGAAAACATTTATATAATGTACACATAATAATATAGATAGTTTTAAAAGTTATATAAAAATTATAGTCAGTAGGAAAGCAAAAATAACAGCAGTTGTATAAAAGTATTAATTTTTGTATAACATGAAAAAATATTATTTTATCCCTGGGACGGACTTACAAAGATATGTCGGGTACAACCATTGTTTTAGAGAAATATATTTTTTTAAGAAGAACATTCACTATGATAAATTTCATTTTATAAAGATTCATAATAAATAAAAATGGTATGTTTTGTACAAGATAAGATTAAAGAAAGATTTATTTTATTGATGAATGGAAGATACACTCTTGTATTTATTTTGTATTTTTATGTAGAAAAAACATTAATTGACTAAATTGAATACGAAAAATAATTCTTTTGAGATATTTCATTACCCGCTAAAGGCATTAATTTTAATAGTTTAACGGTTGGAATTTGATGGCGTTTATGATTATCAAATATTTTTATCTATAGGTACTCATAGTGTATGTCCTTCTATGTATATTTGAGCCAATGATTTTATGGCACGTTTATACTGTTCAATGGCACAAATATTATGTACTGGGTTTCATTTACACGATTAGAAAAAATATCTCTTAAACTGTCAAACACCGCGAGGACACCGGTGACCGCAACCTATTGTTCTTTAATTGTGTCTATAATTACGGTATTCAAAGAGATAATACGTATACTGGTTTCGAAATAGCCTCTTTTATAAAACCTTTGTAACATCTCACTTGCTATTACCCGAAAGGGTAGATAGAGTTAAATTTATAACACACTGATTTTTTAGCAGTTATTATAACGATATTCAGAAAATATAATTCAAAATACAGTGTTCTTATTGTGAAATTTAAAAAACTTAGTAAAATAATTTACTATAGTCGGCAAAGCTATTTGCTATGAATGTAAAAAATAAAGACTGACATAGTACAGAGACTCTTATTACACTATTAGATATATAGATTTTCACCAAGCCACATCTGTAGCTATTGATCGGTTCAGTAGCGCCTACAAATGACTACTATGTCTGTACTAAATTAATCTTTAAAAAAATATTTGTATATATATAATCTATTTAAAAATTTCATTACTCATCAACGGTAGATACAGGCTGATATTTTCTCCTACACCAAATACGAAACCCAGTTATTCATTACAAAAAACATGTATTTCTGGACACAAATGTATAAGACTCCTGGCAGATATAATAATGTAACTATACTAAATAATAATTATAACTTAATAACTATGAAACAACACTTTTGGAATGAATGGACGATCACAAGCCTTGGGGTATAAATTTGGTCTAATGTACAGGCGTTGCAGGGCCTTTAATGGGGTTGCCAGATGAAAAAAATATGCTGCAAATATTCACACTGGCAATACTAAAAAAGTTTAAATCTATTGCCTTATACAAGTATCGATTTTAATATGTTTTTGGATGTCAAAAAGACGGTTTTGTGTATATTTATTCTTGTATAATCACAGTGGGTGTATAATTAAATATATTGAAAATACAACAACTGCCTGTACATAACAAAAAATATCGAAAATCTAAGGCACTAAGTTGAAGCAATGTACTTAAAGTATTATTGCTTTGTTGATACAAACGTCAACTAGCTTAATAAGGGTATTTGTAAGCAATTTTACCAACCAACAAACGACACGTACATGAACCTAGTCTCATCTGTCAATATATTTTCAACCTTATTTCTAGAGCGATAATAGAGTAGAAAATATCTTAAACACATCAGGTTAGGTTGACTTGCCGTTGATTGGAACATTTTTTCAACACGATCTCAAATAAATTACTAACTATAATAAATATTGCTTTTTACACTGAAAATTGCTCAAAACTCCTCATCGCTAGGAAATAGAATATCAAATCGCTCTTCATAATTGCTACTAATCTCTTGCAGGAAGCACCATCTAATATTAAAAATATCTATCAAAAATACACCTACTTACAACGTAATAAAGTATATAATTACGTAATTGTGACGTTTACAGTTATTTTACATAATAATGTAAAACAATCGTTTCGATATGTCTTTGCGTGACAAGTCTTAAATTATGCATAGTGAGAACAATTCTCTATAACTTTTAATCTAATGGGAAAATTCCTATGAATAGGAAAGAACCTGAAATTGGGAAAATTCCTATAAAAATTTGCTAAAAATCTTTGGACAAGGGATTTTTTGATCACATTAATTTTGACTTTTAGTCCATCACAGATGTTTCTAAGCCACAGATTTCTGAACATCTAGACATTAAGGAACTTATTACACTAACCTAAGAAAGAACTTAATATAACGTTCTATGGCTTCAAGCCTCATAACTTAGTTAAAAATAACGACCGAATCATCAAAAATTATGCCACAGCATTCACATATTTGTGACTACAATACTCTCTACTCAAAATATACTGAGTATTCAGGAAAAAATCTACTAAAAACTACAATACTTACCGAAAAAAGTTCTTAAAGAACCTTTGAATGGGAATTTTCCCAATTTAAGTTCTTATTTTTAGGAATACTTCCCAAGCCTAAGTCACGGATTCGAATTATAGCATACAGTTCACTTACTGTTTTATACGATGTCTTTTTAATTTCTTAATTTAAACTAAGACTGACTTTATAGTCAAAGTTAAAAAGAGATGAGAGGATTTTTAATCACTTTTAAAGGTATTGCATAGGTTGTCTATGTGAGACAGTTAATTACTTAGTTATACTCTAATACAAACAAAAAAGAGTATTTATTTGTATTTGTTACCATCAGCTGCGTAGAAATGAGACAGCAGTAGTAATAATTTTGTTGTATATCTGAGGCCATGAAATAAATAAAATATTGACTGAGTCAGTACTCAAATAGACCAAAGAAAAAACCTCAAAGATAACCTTTCTTAACAAAATAATAATTAACTGTCACATTACATAATATAACAGCTCTGACTGACCTATTCTACTTGTAGAGTCAAAAAGACTTGGTTTTGAAAACAATCACGACCTTTAGTATCGAAAAAATCTCTCTTTAGGAATTCACGACCTTAACTGTCAAAAAACCTCATATTGGGAAATTTTAACCTGTGTGGTTTTGAAGTTGTTCAATGATCACCAGGAGTGGTGAGTTTAGCTGTCTCACTGTCAGAGGGCGGCGCGGGCTGCGTCGATACTACTTTGATGACGGTAGGGAGCGGGGTCTGCGGGGGCTCCGGACGATTGGCCAGAGTTAAGGCCCCGGAGTTCACGTCTTCTATCGCTTTTCGAAGCTGTTGAGGAAGAGAATTAATTTAATGTTTTGTTTTTGGGATGAGTCTTTTATAAGAATTAAAATATGAATCAGAAATATTTTTAATCAAAGTATAAGAATAAAACTAAATGTCAGCAAATTCTACCACGCGTGCTATCACGCTCTCGCTATTTTTCTCACTATATTTTTATAATAATAGTTCTAAGTAGTAAAACGACAGATAGGTTACTTTCGTTGCTGCAAGATATAGTCATCCTTTTGTGGTTTTATTTTTTAATATTTCATTTTTTCTTTTTATGATATATTTTTATTATTACTAAATGAAAATATATATAAAATATAAATAATTATGAACTAAAATATTTAAACCTTAAAAAAATAATAATAAAAATGCTATTATAAGGCATCAAAAAAAAATTTCCTCATCGTTATCGTGAGGTAGGGTACCCAAAAGATTGGCAGCATTGCCACGTTGAATGACAATGCTTAACCTTTGCCCAAGGTAGTAGCCAGCCCTTCGATCACCTGAAGTGTCAACCATCCTCCTCACAATAGAGTTTAGATAAACATTTCACATCAATTTTGTCATAGGTATTACAATAAAGTAATTATAATAAATCTCACCTCTTTCAACGACACGACACCGATCAGTCGTCCGATGGCAGTCACGTATGCTCTGCTGACACCAAGCGTTGAGAACAGCGAGTGGACCTGTATCATAATTAGGTATTTATAGCACAGAATTTTATCAATCAATCGAAAATGATTTAGAACTATGGGGCCGGGGGCCGGGCCGGCCGGAGGGGTCGACGAAGTGTGACATTGTGTGACAAGGGAGATGGAGGGATCCTAAACTTTGTGATGTCCCATTTCAGAAACTATTATAAAACACGAAATATAATTGTATTCATATTTTTATTTTGCTTGATTTGTTATTAGTATTTTTAAAACTGATTTGGGAACCGCTGTTTTCATTCAATAATTTTTATACATACGTAATTCTGCAAAATGTAATGTCACACTAGGGGAAGGGGTCTCACAAATGTGACTAGTTGTGACAAGGAGGGGCAAAAAATCATGATATTCGTGGGATGTAATTTATGGATGATCCCTATTTAAAGGTTAATTTTAGTAAAATATTCTAAATATTGGGCTTTTTTTTTGGGACAAGCTTGCCACAATTTCCCGAAACCGCTACAACTGCTGCAAGCCAGGATGTACAGTAGAAAAGGAATAGTCTGGCTGTCTGAACTATCTGGCTAATTGAGTTTTTTTCCAGACCTTGTCGTGACAAACGGAATAAAAGTCTATACCTTGAGTAGCGAGGTCCTCTCCACCAGTTGGAATGGCGCAGGGTCAATGTGGCAGATGTACAGATTCTCATCCTCATACTCCGGGTCGTCGGGGTGCTAAAGAAGAGAGAATAGATTAAAAATCATGATATATGAACTATCATGAGATATAGGTACTTAATTAATTAAAATAACCGATTTGCCTCGTGCCTGCCTCGTTGGCCGAGTGGTCGCAAGTGCGACTGCCGGGAAAAGGGTCTCGGGTTCGATTCCCGGGTCGGGCAAAGTACTACTGAGTTTTTATAAATTCTTAGTAGTAGCACGGAGTCTGGAATTGTGCCCGGTATATGGCAATAGGCTAACCCCCATTACATGGGACTCATAACATAAATAGTGAAAAGTGGGTGTTACATTATATAATGGCATAATGTGCACCTCTGCTTACTTCATTCGAGGATAAAAGGCGTGATGTTATGTTATATTATGTTTGTTTATTAATTAACTTTACCGTAGTCCAGCATTGAACAGCTCTCATGGGCTGTTGTTGTTTATAATGATAATGGTGATGATGAAATCTAAATCTCACCATATCTCGCTTCCTGGCGATCTGCAGCATCCTGTCGAAGTCTATCTCCTTGGCCATCTCCATCTGTTCCCAAGCTTTCTGGTCTTCCGGAGACATGTCACAAACACGCTCACGTGGCTGGAATATAAACACACAATTGCTTTTATAATTATACTAGCTTTTACCCGCGGCTTCGCTCGCGTTACAAAAGGATAAAAAGTAGCCTATGTGACATATACCAATACACACAGCGCCATCTATACCAATAATTTCGTTTTCCCTCGAGAATATCAAATTTTTCCGGGATAAAAAGTACCCTATTATTTAGTCCAGACTTCTAACTTCACGTACGTCTGCAAAAAATCAAAGCAATCGGTTTAGTAGTTACGGCGCAAAAGTGGAATAAACAAACAAACAAACAAACAAACTCACTTTCCGATTTATAATATTAGTAAGGTTTTCTTCTGTATTTGATTTTCGGTCTTATCACTATGAATCTTGACAGCACGGTTGGCGCGGTGACTGGGCAACTGGCTGCCGCGCATCGTGTCGCGGGTTCGATTCCCGCACGGAACAACTCTTTGTGTGATCCACAGATTGTAGTTCCGGGTCTGGGTGTCATGTATATGTGAACTTGTATGTTTGTAAACGCACCCACTACACAGGAGAAAATCCTAGTGTGGGGCATAGTTTTTTTTAATCTATAACACTAATATTTTAAATATGATAGTTTCCTTATTGGGCTGTTGATTCGTCAATCACGCTGCGACCACTGAACGGATTTTTATGGCATTTGGTATACATGCAGGGTATGGACTGACTTAGGTGATAGGATACTTTTTATCTCGGTTAAATGCTCCCATGAGATAGAATAGGAATACGCGGGTAAAAGCTAGCAACTAACAATTTTAATTAGAACTTAATAACATTTTATAACAGTACACTAGGACTCTGTCCTGTGTCGTACGTGTGTTTAAAAACATCCAAGTTCACATACAAGTCTCACCATGTTGTTTCGTGTAGGAATCGAGCCTGTAACACTATGCGCAGCAGTCCGTTGTCCACCCACTGCGCTCACGGTGCAATCATATTGTTTAAAAAAATCTTGTATATAAATAAGATTATTATACTAACCAGCTGCACTTTCTTGTTGATAGACGGGCTTCTAGGTAGTGATGTAGGACTGAGTTGGTCTGGGAGTCCTCCCTCCACGTCTTGTAGGAGGGTGGAACGCTTGAATATCGCCTCGAACGCTGCTCGGATCCTGAAAGTACAGTATTGGATAAGATTTGTCTTCTTACTGCCTCGTTGGCCGAGTGGTCGCAATTGCGACTGCCGGGTAAGGGGTCTCGGGTTCGATAAAAATTTCTCAGTAGTAGCACGGAGTCTGGAACTGTGCCCGGTATATGGCAATACGCTCACCCCGTTACATGGGACTAATATAACATAAATAGTGAAAAGTGGGTGTTACATTGTACAGTGGTATAATGTGCACCTCTGCCTACCCCTTCGAGGATAAAAGGCGTGGTGTTATGTTGTCTTCTTATTGATTTTTTTGTGTTTTTATTAAAGATAAGTAAATAGAGGGTTTAATAAACTTGTTTTAAGTGAAGGAATTTTATTTTTTTACCTTGACATCCATCATCTTTCCTATTATAGTGGATTTCTATTAAAGGCTTGTTTTTCTTTAACAAGAGTTATTAAAAATATATAACTATAGCTATCTAATGCTGGCAGCCTTTAATTTCCAAAGTTATTTGTTTAAATTCATTAAATTAATTACTGTTTCAAATAGCTCAAAAGTCGCAATTGAAGAAAAAGTTAAAGACGAGCGTCTTTCCATTTGACAAATGGTACTCCAACAAAGAAAAATACTGTATTTTTTATGGGATATGCCGCTGTAGACGAGTAGACGGATCACCTGATTTTGGGAATTGGGAATTTGAGGATTTTGGAGGGTTCGGGGATTGGGGAAACTGGAGAGGGGTAATTAGGCCTCCGGTAACCTCACTCTTTCCTGTGTTTCAAGGTTTTCTGTGAAGCCGTGGTATCACTTCGGTCGAGTCGCCCCATTCGTGCCGAAGTATGGCTCTCCTACACTTAAAGTTAATTTTGGTGGTTCCAGTTTTTTACTCCATACAGACCTGGTCTCAGCCCCCGTAACAGTAGTATAGACAGACGGTTGCGGAGTGCTGGGGGTGTTGGGGGCGCTGGGTACTCCGGCCCCGAGTCCCCGCGACAAGGTGAACGAGTTCGTCTTCTTCAGGATCGACTTCGGACGGAATAGCTGGCCTGGAGCTAGAGGACAAAAACATTAATAAAGAGGTCTGTTTTTATAATAACTATCGTGAGATATACTAAATTTACTAAAATCGCGGGTTACTCACGTGAGTATACTGAGAAAAGCTCTACTAACACTGGTACTAATACTGTTTCGAAACTAGTAGAGCTTTTCTCAGTATTTTTTTAGTTAATTAAGAGGTATGTTGTCTCCATTAAAGAAGTGATCAAAGCTGTGGTGATCACTCTCAATCGACGAGCATGTATGAAGAGATTGATTTAACCTGTGTAGTGTCGGAACGCATATGTTTACTATTGTGTCACATACGTCGACAGGCTAGAGGTCGTGTTTGTAATAACTATCGTGAGACATACTAAAACTGCACGGTTGTCGCGATGGCTAGGCAACTGGCTGCCGCCCAACGTGTCGCGGGTTCGATTACCGCACGGAATAACTCTTTGTGTGATCTATAGATTGTTGTTCCGGGTTTGGGTGTCATGTGTTTGTGAAATTGTATGTTTGTATACGCGCCCACGACACAGGATACAATCCTGATGTGGGACAACGTTTAAAAAAACCCTATTGGTCGAAGAACGAGAGGTTCACATTGGAGCTATGGTGAGCCATACTATTGTACCATACTATTGTATGGTAGGCCCCATTTTGTAATTTGAAATCGTTTCACTGTCTCTCTCTAATGGGAGATAGACGTGACGATACGTATGTATGGCGACCACATAAAATATTATGAAGACAGTTTGAACAACCTACTCATGATGCTTAGCATACTCTAACATAATATGAGCAGTTCATTTCTAGATTATAGATCTCTGCAAGCAATTGCTAAACCTATCTTATACTATTATATAAAGCGAATGTTTTTTTCTTTTTTTGTTTGAACGCGCTAATCTCCGTAACTACAAGTCTGATTTGAATAATTCTTTTTGTGTTGGATAGCGCATTTATTGAGGATGGCTATAGGCTATAAAACATCACGCTACGACCAAAAGGAGCTGAGCAGAGCGTGTGAAACCGCGTGGAAGTAGCTAGTAATGATATAAAGAGTAGGTGCTTACCAGGTATAAGACCTCCCTGGTCTTTGGTGGTGAGTGAGGATCCTCTCGTCATACCGGTGCCTGGGACTTGTAGCATATCTGGAGCCGGAGTCACCTGTAACATTGATTATTGATAAGTAACCTTATAGTCAATAGGATGAGAGTTTAAAATGTATTGATTTTAATGCATTGCAGTGATTGTCGTGTCTATGACGGTTATCTCGCCATGCAGTGTTAGTAAAAAAAGATTTTTTATGTTAACTCACTCGATCGTTCAATACTAAAACAAGACTGTATTATATAAATAAATAAAGACTGAAAAAAGAGTTTAATATTATTTCACGGTCTCTACGGTAGAGCAAACAGAAAATGTCCAACATGCCTTTTCGGTATACCACTCTATCTAGAAATCAAAATTTGTGCCGTACAGCACATCAGTAGCTGTAGCCAAATGCCATTTAGCGCTTGTCTACATGTAGAATAGAAAACCAAATTATATGGAATTGACGTAAATTTTGACACTTGTCAGTGTCATCCCCGTATATTTTGATTTCTACTCTCTCTGTAGAGAAGCGCTAAAGTGGCGTTTGGCTAAAGGCCCAGTATTGTATTCAGTATTGTAAAGAGAGCATTAATAAACGGACGTGTGAGCCGATAGGTATTGTTTTATTGCATTACTCGTTGCCATATATAGCCTGCCATATAAAGGCACAAATTTCAAACTTACCTCAAACCTAGAAGGCCTCCTAACTTTCTTCCTAGCCTCCTCGTCCCTCCTCCTAAGCTCTGCCTCCCGATGCCATAGCGCCGCGATCTGTAACCTCCTATCTCTGCCGACCTGCTTCTCTATCACCTTGACCAGCTCCCAGCGGTGGATGGAACCTAGCAGTACCATGGACGATGGACTGTCCACTAGGGGGAAGCTTTTTATGGTCTGTGAAGGAATTTGCAAACAGTTAGATGTGTTTATGTAGTACATTTTATATTATCAATAGTGACGCTTATGTACACCAGCAATATTAGAAGTTATATGAACGTTGGTCTTGTTGGGAATCAGGCAACCTCACTTGCACGGTGAAACACAACGCTTGGTAGTAGCATCACTCCGGTCGAGCCGGGGCCAGGACAGCAGCGCCAAAGCATGGCTCTGTCTCGTGACAAAATGACGCAATGCCCATTTGTGTCTATTGGATATTATAAATAGACTAGCAAACCCGGCGAACTCCGTTTCGCCACCAGAGGGCTTCGTTTTATGTAACATTTCGTTTAGTGATTAGTGAATTTTCTTTGCTATAAACCTCACGGAGCCCGAGACCTTTCCAACGCATGCAAAACCGTAGACATCGGTTCGTGCGATCTGGAGTTATAGCGTCAGGAAGGATAACCCGACTTATTTTTATATAGTAGATTAAATTAAGTAAAATCTCAGGTTACTCACGTGAATATACTGAGAAACTCTGAACATAGAGAGAAACTAGTAGAGCTTTTCTCAGTATATTCACGTGAGTAACCCGCGATATTACTTAATTTAGTATGTCTCACGATAGTTATTATAAAAACATAAATAGATTAATTCAAAGATATATTAAATACCTATGGTGATTTTATTGAGATTTTTGTAGATAAAATTAAAACGGATTCTTTGCTAAAATGTATATTTTTTTCTTTCTTACCTTGTTCTCTTTAAGCAGATCCTTAAGCTGCTGGAAGCTCATTCTGTTCCAGATGTATTTGACGTCGCGCACCATGAAGTCTTCTACGCAGATGTCGTACATACCTGTAAAGATGAAAATTATGTAATGTAAATTTGTAGCCTTTTTAAGTAAGCATTCTTACTAACATTATAAATCGGAAAGTGAGTTTGGTTGTTTGTTCCCCTTTACGCCGTAACTACTAAACCGATTGCTTTGAATTTTTGCAGACGTAAAGTTAGAAGTCCGGATTAAATAATTTTTCCGGGATAATACTTTTTATCCCGGAAAAATTTTATATTCCCGATTGAAAACACAAGTGTTGGTAGAGATGGCGCTGTGTGTATTGGTATATGTCGCATAGGCTACTTTTTATCTTTTTGTGAAGCGAGCGAAACCGCAGGTAAAAGCTAGGATAAAATAAAATAAAAATAAAAAAGCATGTATTTCTCTTCAGACAGTAGGTATATAAAATACGTTTCTTAGTTATTAACCAAATTGGTTATTTCTTATTGTGTTAAATTAATTGTTGTATTTAGGCAGCGAAAAGGGTTGCTTAAGGTTAAGGTTCAGGACCTTCTCCAAGTTTTGCCAATCGTCTCTTGAATTCGCAGTTTGTATCCAGTTTGATCCAGCTATTTGTTTAATTTCGTCCTCCCATCTTTTACGACGTTTTTTTAAGTAAGTTTACTCCCTATATATATTTGAGTGAGTGTATTTGAGTATATAATAATATACACACGTCTGCCTACTCCTTCGATGATTTAATGTGAGTTGTATTTATATACAACGTACATAAATACAACTAGACAAGAGACATACACTAAAGTCATATTAACCGAACTTATCCCTATTCCTGCGTCTATTATTCAGCAGCTGAAAAAGTATAATCGACAAGGCAGATGGCTTGATTCATCAACGTCTTAAAATAGAAAACTTTATGTAGCATAAGTATAAAGTCATTTATCCTCTTGTCTGTTCAAAGTTGCGGGTATAATGTGTTTTATACCAGGAGCCGGTGCCAACAGATAAAAGGTTATTTGATTTGTTCAATTAATTGTATATACAAAAATGTTGATTTGAACAAAAAGGAAAAACAAATTTTCTTCTACTTCCGTCTAACCTATCTCTCTTTTTAAAGTATGACCAAGAATATTTTCATATAAACAAGTACAAAAACAGTCGACGAGGATGGGATTCGAACCCACGCGTGCAGAGCACATTGGATTAGCAGTCCAACGCCTTAACCTCTCGGCCACCTCGTCATGGGAACACACGGCGAAATACAACTGCATATTGTATAGTTGCATATAAGAATATTAAATGCATTTGTATATTATATTAGCTGCACTTAGTATTCTGTGCAGTTGAATAAATATTTGTACAAGTCGCAACAAAACCATTATTTTTTTTCTGAAGTGAGAATGTAGAGGATATATTGTTGAAAAGAGTAGATACTAAACCAAGGAGTTTCTTGATTTTTTTCTTTTCTGTAAGAATATTTTTATTGCTACTGATATATAATATTTTTTGTGTTTGATAGTCTATTTATCGAGGAGTAATAATAAGGCTATAAAACATCACGATACAATCTATAGGAGTCGAGTAGAGCGGTTGAAACCGCGTGGCAATAGCTAGTATTTAATATGTACAATATACTCACGGCTAGCAGAAGATAGCAGGTCGGGTAGATACGGTAGTTTCTTGATGAGGATAATACTGTCGAAGCACGACGGTTGCAGCAAGGAGGCCGTCGCGTTGGCGGCGAGCACGGCAGCCATTATTGGGAGGAGGTGGGTCACCTGAACATACACATTTATTTTTAGTTTTTGAATAAGGAACAAATTGTAGTGTTTAAGACTTTGACTGCCAATAAAAAACTGCTGAAGGTAATCCTCCGCTAACGTCGGTCACCGGTGACCCCCATGGCGTTTAACGTGTTAAAAATCCTAATTGAAAAAGATATTATAGACGCATTACTCGTTACTAAAATTTTCGAAAGTTCGGTTTCCCTAGGATCCCATCATCAGATCCTGACCTCATGGAAATGGGACCATCTCGGGAGTATACCCTTTCAAACAAAACAAGAATTTTGGAAATCGGTTTACAAATGGCGGAGTACTGCGCGAACAAACAAAAACAAAACAACCAGCCGAACATAGTACCTTCTCCTTTTTTGAAGTCCGTTAAGAATAATTAATAGCTTTTTCGTTTATCTGTCTCATTTATTTAAAACTGGTTTTTTCAGCTTGTATTGTATACAATACTTACATGTACAATAATAACGTTATTAAAGGTGCTTCGTCAGCAGGTTTTGCTATTAGACATTAGAATTTTTCCTTGAGATTTAGCTACATCAACATTTTTTTTTTAAACATTGGGTTTGTACTGAAGTGAAAATCTTGAAAATTTAAGATTATGATTCTTTTGAGAAATAATTCAGTAGTCCCTGATAGTCTGCGTAAGAAGAAGAAAGAAGTTTTACATGAACAATAATATATTTATACCAAAAGGTCGTGAGTTACTCACGTGTAAAAACTGAGAAAAACTCTAGGTCTAGTCTAGTCTAGATTTGAACGTACCCGCAACTTTTAGTTAATTTAGTATGTCTTACGATAGTTACAGTTAGTAGATAGGCCCAATTACCCTCCCCTTCCCCAATCTTCCCAATCCCTGAATCCCCAACGATCCTCAAATTCCTAATCCCTAAAAAGCCGGTAACGCACTTGTAACGCCTCTGGTGTTCTGTGTGTCCATGGGCGACGCCGATTGCTTACCATCAGGTGATCCGTCTGCTCGTTTACCGGCTTATGCCATAAAAAAAGTTATTATAATTGTACCTGTCCAGTCATCTCGCTGACGATGACAATGGTGGACACAGTGTGGGTGACTGCGCCCGTGAAGGCGGCCGCGCCCACCACCGCGTAGCCTCCTGGAATCACAATCAAGTAATTTAATTACAGCTGCAGCTAGGAAAAGATTTATATATAAAAATTGATTATAATAATTATTATTTACAACACTGAGGTAGATTTTTTAACCAAAACTCCAGAATTTCTCCACATACAGTGCGGTATAAAATAAATCTCATTAAAAGTAGGTAAGGAACTGTCAAAAAGTAGATTTCACATTCAATGAGAACACTTCTGTCTGTACCAGTTCAGGTTTAAAGACTCGTTGCTGTGCATTATACTATAACATCTTATTACTAAACTATTCAACTCACCAGGCAATATCTTCTGTATATGCCCCCCGTAGGCAACTCCGAGTGGACAGAAGTAGTGCATCACCTCCCCCGTGAACCTGCCGAGGGAGGCTCCCATCTTGAACGCTGGGACGAAGATACCCGCCGGCACTGGCAGCGTACACGATACTAAGCTTAGGAAGAACTGGGGAAGGATAATAAGATTTTTTATGAGTTACGGACCAAATGGATCATATGACAGTGATAAGCGTAGTCCATGAGCAAACATTTTTTTACATAACATAACATCACGCCTTTTATCCCCGAAGGGGTAGGCAGAGGTGCACACAGAGGTAACACCCACTTTTCACTATTTATGTTATGAGTCCCATGTAATAGGGGGTGAGCCTATTGCCATATACAGGGCACATTTCCAGACTCCGTGCTACTACTGAGATTTTTTATAAAACCCAGTAATACTTTGCCCGACCCGGGAATCGAACCCGAGACCCCTCGCCCGGCAGTCGCACTTGCGACCACTCGGCCAACGAGGCAGTCAATCAGCAAAAATTTTTTTTAAGTGGGAAGTATCATCGAATGACTTCTCCTGCCTGGGTGAGGCGGGAGGGAGTGTCAGACTCTTACTGACTAAAACCACCCCGTTCCTACTCCTGCACTTTGAGCCAGAGCCCCGGTAACCTTTAACGTTCTCCGCGGCATGGACAACCATAAACACTAGACGGGTTACAAGTGCGAGTTACAATTTTGAGTAAATGATACAAATTTGGGACTACCATTTTCTATTGAACAAAGTGCTTTCTTATCGCTATGCCTTACAATACCTTACAATTTTTGAAATCTGTCATACAATATAAATGGGACCGGTAGAGAGCACGATAGACGGACATGTATCTGTCGTAGGAAAATTTGATACTTCGAATCTTCGCGGAAATCCTAGGGGTTTTGCGAAAACGCGGATAATTAGACATTGGCGAAAAATTATCAAATCTTACTGGACAAAGTCAGGATTTTTGCGAAAATACTCGTTACTATAGTAAGATTTGATGTGCTCAACACTGATTGGCTACAATTTTGCTGGCTGACTTCTAATTGGTTCCTAGTTTGCCGATGATTAACTTCAAGTATTGTATCATAAAGTTATGAAGGTTTAGAATAGGTGAGAAAGAAAAATCACTAAATTGATTTTTATAAACTTTTTATTGAAAATTTTAGTATGTATGTTGTTTTCTACAGACAATAGAAGATCTCAGTCGTAGTAAAAAAAATGATCCAATTTTAGGGTGTAATCCATAAATTGGATGAAACTGGTCGTTTAAGACGACGAAAAAACATTTCAACCAATCAGAGACGATCTCTTATTGAACGCGCTGACCGACCAATCAGCGTTCTTATTTCATAACAGCCAGCGTTTCGTTTCGCAATCTTACTATAGTAATGAGTATTTTCGCAAAAATCCTGACTTTGTCCAGTAAGATTTGATCATTTTTCGCCTATGTCTAATTATCCGCGTTTTCGCAAAACCCCTAGGATTTCCGCGAAGATTCGAAGTATCAAATTATCCTACGACATATCCACCAGATTGGCGACATATTAAAGAAGGGACAAATTAAAAGTCTACTTAACCGATGAGCATTCATGAAAAGACTGATGACTGTCTAAGAGGTGTGTAATAATGTTAGTAATTGGCATTCCATAATAGATGCTAGGCAGAGGCCCCATAAGGGACAAGCTTGAGGTTATGCACGTATGTTCATAGGATCTGGAATTGGGATTTTTTTAGCAATAGAGTCCACCTCCCAGTATATTTAGTACCATATCTGGCAAAATATAAGTGTGGGAGAGCCATGCTTCGGCACGAATGGGCCGGCTTGACCGGAGTTATACCACGGCCTCACAGAAAACCGACGTGAAGCAACCCTTGCGTTGTGTTTCGTCGTGTGAGTCAGGTTACCGGAGGCCCAATTACCCTCCCCTTCCCCAATCTCCCCAATCCCTGAATCCCCAACGATCCTCCAACTTCTAATCCCCAAAAAGCCGGTAGCACACTTGTAACGCCTCTGGTGATTCAGGTGTCCATCGGCGACGCCGATTGCTTACCATCAGGTGATCCGTCTGCTCGTTTACCGGCTAATGCCATAAAAAAACAACAAATTCATTGTAAGTACACATTGGTAATAATAAAAGCCGTGATGTCATAATGAAACGTTGTGTGGAAAATAAGTGTACCACGGGTAGAGTGCAGTAGGCAATATTGGATGTGTTGTCACAAGACGAGGTGGCCGAGAGGTTAAGGCGTTGGACTGCTAATCCAATGTGCTCTGCACGCGTGGGTTCGAATCCCATCCTCGTCGACTGTTTTTGTACTTGTTTATAACTATTTTTAATGAAAGTATTTGATAATTATTAATTATAACTACATAAATTGGAGGTTTTGAATAAATTTAAAAATTAAAGAAAATAGAATATTGTTTTCTTTCATGGAAATGCCTACAACCTAAATAATGCAAGAAAAACTACAACAAATATGATAAGATACCTTAGTATCTTTTTTATGAGACCATTTTGACAAAAAAAATGTAAATATTTATCCATGATTTCAAGTCATCTCAAAACAAAATTGTGTGTGTGTTGTAAAAACGTACATAATTAATTTTAAGTTACCATCTAACGGCTGAAATGGTAAGTACCTAAATCAATTAATGTGCATCGATCTATGAGATTTGTTGTACGGAGTGTTTGTCAAAAATTTATTGCGCTGCATAGATTTTTATGGGATAAGCCGGTAAAAGCGCCCACGGGTCACTTGATGGTAAGCAATCGGCGCCGCCCATGAACACCTGGAACACCAGAGGCGTTACAAGTACGTTACCGGCCGTGGTATCACTTTAGTCGAACCGGCCCATTCGCGCCGAAGCATGGCTCTCCCACACTTATCCTTTTGGTGCTAAGTTATTAATTTCAATCTTAATTCTAACATCCCCGTATTCATGTCAAAGCGAGTGTAATAAGTTATACTCACAATGGAAAAGAAGTATATGATGAGACATCCAAAGTGGTCGACCTCGAGAGTCTGCCAGTGAGACACCACGGAGGCTTGCTCCGCAGTCAGCTCGTCCGTCCAGGTGAAGTTGGAGAACAGGGAGAGGACCTGCAAATGAACAGAGATCATGAAGTTGTTTTGTTGAATTGTTACCTTTTTACGCATCAACTACCTTGAAACTTTGCATACAGGCATACCTAATTGCGAGTACGGAGAAAGATATAATATGTGGACAAGGCTGTAGGTAAAGCTGGTAAAGAATAAAATCATATCACTCTATATTAACTCTGTGGACGCCCTCTGCCCCATCTAGAAGACATTTTTTTTAAAGGGAAAAATCATCACATGATTTCGCTAGCCCGGGTGAGGAGGGTGAAATTATCAGACTCTAACTGACTCGTCGTGTTCCGCGCGCGCCTCAAAGAGCCATCAGACCACCACGCATGAGACCCAATAGGCCAAATGCCGATACGGAGGAGCGGAGGACTTAACGAGTTGCCGGGCCTCCTCTTACTGACTAAAAATCACTCCGTTCTTCTATTCCTGCACTTTGAGCCGAAGCCCTGGCAACCCGTTAAGTCTTCCGCGGCTAGACATAGGAACTTAATGTCGGGATACTCAAACGCTACTCAATTTTAAGTCGTGCTTAAGTATAGTTCTGTCTCCACAAATTCTTTGTAAAATGACAGAGATGGCACGATATTTAAGAACGACTTAAAATTGAGTAACGTTTCAGTATTCCGGCATAAGTCATGTAAGTCACTCTATATTAAATCTAAAAGTTTAATCATTTTTGCGCACCTTGTGATCTCTCGATTTTTTTTTGTTATACAGCCATTCAATACTTTTTATTATAAGTTTAGTCGAAGTTAATAGTTAAAAATAATAAATAAAGCAATTAAATAATATTAAAATTTGTTCACCTGTTCTTGGTTTCCAAGATCAGCCGCCATATATTTTCCGATACCAGGCGGGAACAATATGGACATCACTGCTAGTGTTATGAAGCCTGGGTAGATGAAACGACTGGAAAGAAACGTAATAATTAAGAGAAATTATTAATTGGAGCCCTAACCACCGGTGGCTTGGACCATGCTCCCGCTACTGGTCGGCTCCTATTTTTTAATATTACTTTTTTTATTTTGTAAGTAAGTAATATTTAAATATGTAAATTGTAGAAAATTTTAAATAAATATATGTAAATATAATAAAACAATGTCATGCTTGTTAACTTTAACTATCACTTGACGATGCAGCTCGGCGCAGTGAGATATCCTCGCGATAAACTCAAAAATCACTGCATAAATTTTGATGTCTGCCTCGTTGGCCGAGTGGTCGCAAGTGCAACCGCCGAAGGGTCTCGGGTTCGATTCACAGATCGGGCCAAAGGACTACTGGATTTAAAAAAAATCTCAATAGTAGAACGGACTCTGGAATTTTGCCCGGTATATAGCAATAGGCTCACCCCTTATTACATGGGACTCATAACATAAATAGTGAAAACTGGTTGTTACATTATACAGTGGCATTAAGTGCCGTAATGTGCACCTCTGCTAACCCTTTCGGGGATAAAAGGCGTGATGATGTTATATATAAATTTTGATGTTTGCCTCCTGGTATACTAGGAGGGAATTTGCCAGAAGTCACTAGATATCATATAATCAAGTTATACCCTGAATAACTTGGTTAATGTCGGAATACTCAAACGCTACTCAATTTTAAGTCGTGCTGAAGTATTTTATTTATTTATTTATTTATTTATGTACACACATTCAACACAGAGGACAATACATAATAAAAAAAACAGAGTACATAGGCCCCACATATTCCAACTGGAATTTCTTCCTGTGGGCCTGTGGCAGGAAAAGAAATAACAACAATGAGACACATAGTGTGTTACACAAACAAGATAAAAATCAATTAATTAAAAAAAAGTATAGTTCTGTCTCAACGAATTCTTTGTAAAACGACAGAGACGGCACGATATTTAGGCACGACTTAAAATTGAGTAATGTTTCAGTATTCCGGCATAAGCAACTTACTTCTTCTGCAAGAAGTTACTGAGTGACTTGGTGTTCCTGATGAAGAGCACGTATTGTCGGTGGAGGAACACCCACAGCGCGGCTAGCAGGCCGCTGACGATGCTGGAAGTAGAAATAGGATGGTTTAATATTATAAACCTTATATGTATGTCTTTAAAGATTACTTTGGAGATAATGTCTTTATTTAAAAATGATTCCTAGTTATAGCGGGTAAGTCATAAAACTAAAAAGATTCATGATTTCAGATTTTTTCAAAAAAATTAGACCTTCGGTAATTGGGCCTCCGGTAACCTCCCACACATGACGAAACACAATACAAGCGTCGTTTCACGTCGGTTTTTTGTGAGGCCGTGGTATCACTCCGGTCGAGCCGACCCATTCGTGCCTAAGCATGGCTCTCCCACACTTAAAACCTTTATTTCATTTCCAGTTGAAATGACGATCCTACCTCAGGTCTTCAAGTTCCAGACTTACCCCAGCAGTACGAAGACAGCAAACTCCTGAGGATCGAAGGGGAAGTCTTGTGGCAGGTTGGTGGGGAACAGGGGCTTCACAGTCGGCATGGCGCCAGACCATACTGATAGTAGGCGGAACATCTGGAAGAATTAACACATCCTTATATATATAATTCTTCTGTGAGTGTGTATGTCACTGAATTTCTCTTAAACGACTGGACCGATTTTGATGACATTTTTTGTGTGTGTTCAAGAGGATCTGGGAATGGTTTAGATTCACAAATCAGCCCGGCAGATGGCGCTGCAGTCGATGTTTAGGTTATTTATCCTAAACAGCTGAACTAATTTGAATGAATTTTTGTTTATACATTCAAGTGGATATGCAGGACAACGTCTGTTGGGTCCGTTAGTAAGTACATAATTATATTTAACGGATTACAAAGTTAATATTATTATCTGCGTTGGCCGAGTGGTCGCAAGTGCGACTGCCAGTCAAGGGGTCTCGGGTTCGATTCCCGGGTCGGGCAATATATTGCTGGGATTTTAAAATAATTCTCAGTAGTAGCACGGAGTCTAGAATTGTGCCCGGTATATGGCAATAGGCTCACCCCCGATTACATGGGACTCATAACATAAATAGTGAAAAGTGGGTGTTACATTGTATAGTGGCATTAAGTGCCGTAACGTGCACCTCTGTCTACTCCTTCGAGGATAAAAGGCGTGATGATGCTTATATCTGTTAATGTAGATAAATCTGTTAATGCTTATTAATATTTTTTTCTAATCGACCTCGTCTTTGAATATTTAAGCTTCCTTGTGTAGTACAGAAATAAACAAATTAGATCATTCAATGCGCAATGCGCGAGCACAGAATTTCTTCATCAATTGATGAGAGCGTGTGCGCAGTTTTTCATTAAGTGATCTAGTTACTAGTTAATTCTAGGTTATACAAATTAATGTCTTGATCATTACTAGATAGACTGATGAATACGTGCGTGGAACATACTTTTATTGATATGGCCTATAATTTATTAAATCATTATTTCTTAAGGTTTGTAGATTGTATCTATCGAATTTTATGTTAGACAAGTTATTTGTGATAATACAGAGATTTTTACGTAGTCTAGTAACTTTTTAGTATTGTTTATTTTAAATAATTAAAAATGACTGCCTCGTTAGCTGTTAGTCCGTTAGGGTCGATTCCTGAGTCGAGTAAAGTGTTACTGGTTTTTGTTTTTATTCTCAATGGTAGCACGGAGTCTGAAATTGTGTCCGGTATATGGCAATACACTCATCTCCTATTACATGGGTTTCATAACATAAATAGTGAAAAGTGGGTGTTATATTGTACAGTGGCATTAAGTGCCGTAATGTGCACCTCCACCTACTCCTTCGGGGATAAAAGGGGTAATGTTATGTTAAAAATTCTAGGTAGGTACATATAACTCTGCAGTAGGTTGCGCGACTTCGCCGTGACCGTGCACGCTGCTCATGAGGAAGAACCCCTCTGTGGTTCGAAACTAGTAGAGCTTTTCTCAGTATATTCACGTGAGTAACCCGCGATTTTTAGTTAACTACATATAACGCGGTAAAAATCACATTGGTAGTTGCCGTTGGTAGGTTTCGAACCACGCCCTCAAGCAAGAGAAGCAGGTGTTTTTAATCTCCGGGCGACCACGACTCAATTGTGAAAACTATATAATTTTTAAACTGAAGCCTTAGTTAGAATTTGTTTTTTTTTACGTTTAAAGTAATCGAAACGAAACCTCGTCCGGCGCTCTGAGTACCAAGCACGAATAACTATCGCATTCGTAATGTAATAGTATCGAGCGCGTTCGGCGCTCTGATTGGCCGGCTCAAGTGAACCAACCAATCAGAACGCTTAACTCGCTCGATACTGTTACGATACGAATGCGATAGTTATTCGTGCTTGGCACTCTGATTGGTTGATTCATTAGAGCCAGCCAATCACAATGCCGAACGCTTACTCGTTATCATAAACGTAAAAGAAACTGAACTAAGGCCTCTGGTGTAAGCGTTTACATCCTTACTCATATTATAAATCGGAAAGTGAGTTTGTTTGTTTGTTTGTTTGTTCCGCTTTCACGACGTAACTACTGAACCGATTGCTTTGAAATTTTGCAGAGGTAAAGTTAGAAGTCTGGATTAAATAATAGGGTTTTTTATCCCGGATAATTTGATATTCCCGAGGGAAAACAAAAGTATTGGTATAGATGGCGCTGTGTGTATTGGTATATGTCACATAGGCTATTTTTTATCCTTTTGTGACGCGAGCGAAGCCGCGGGTAAAAGCTAGTGATCTATAACGTTTGTAATAAGGTTCAACTTACAATAGCACTGCAGCAGGCGGCGAAGAAGCCGCGCCAGTAGTTTCGCACAGCGAAGTATGTGGTCGTTACTTCAATTGAGAATAGGACACCTGGAACAAATAGAAACATTTTAGAATACTATCAAAAGGATGAAATGGTAGGAGAAGAGCGACGTGAAGACATTTGATAGAAATAAAAATACCATAAAAAACCGACTACGAAATTTATTTATTTATTTATTTATTTCTTCTTCACAAAATACCGTGAATGGCGGACTTAATGCCTTAAGGCATTCTCTTACAGTCAACCATAGGGAAGTGCAGAGAAATGAAGTGGTCGCGAAGCCAGAACACAATCAAAAAAAAAAAGTTATGTAATATGTATACTACACACATAAATACCTATAGAATAAATATATTAATACAATATTTTATAAATAGACATATACATACCATATAATATATACTACTAAACAAATACTTATACTGCATAAATACTACAATATATTATATAAAAAATAAAAAAAGAAAACGTTGTTCGAATAGTTTCCTTAATTATTTTGAGTCCGCCAATGCTCAAGTAGTTGCTCGTTGCTCACGGACTTTAAATTTAAAGATATTGCGACTTGTTGCCATTCTGATCTCCTTGGGCAACGCATTCCACAGAATAACAGCTTGAATGAAAAAGGAAGAATGAAAGAAGTCAACCTACAATGTTTAGAATGAATAAAAAACAACTAAAATGTAAAAAAATAGTAGGTACGATAACTTCTGTCTTAAATAAACTAACTTTGATATACCAACTAGGTATTTTTTGAAGTCGGTGCCTACTCAAAAAATACGTGTCTAATGTTTTAAATTAAAATAGCAAACAGACATTAAAATAAAATTTAAGAAACTACCCTATTGTAATGTTTTTACTTTAGTGAGCTGTGAATAGAATAATACTTTTATACGTTACGTTAAAAAAACCGACTTTAATACCCCTCTTTTTTAAACCCCGTTTTATTAATTAATATACCAAAACCTTCTCCTAAGTGGAACAAACACTTTTCTGGAAACCGCTATAAAATCGGTGCAGCCTATTGCGAGATAATTGTGCACAGGCATACATACAGGTCAAAATGAGAACCCCTTTTTATGGCATAACCCGGTAAACGAGCAGACGGATCACCTGATGGTAATCAATCGGCTTCGCCCATGGACACCTGGAACACCAGAGGCGGTACAAGGCGTTACGCGGCCTTTAGGAATTTGAGGCTTGTCGGGGATTCAGGGGTTGGGGAGATAGAGTAGGGGGGAGGGGGGTAATTGGGCCGCCGGTAAGCTCACTCACACGACGAAACACAATACAAGCGTTGTTTCACGTTGGTTTTTTATGAGGCCCTGGTCACTCCGGTCGAGGTGATCCATTCGGGCCGAAGCATGGCACTCCCTCATTTTTTTAAGTCAGTTAATAACAAAGATTTAACAAAAAGATAAGGCCATGAATAAGATTAACCATTAAACCTGCTTTGATCTCTAATTCTAGGTATAATTTTGTACTCAAATTATGTTTAATCTATAAAATTATGTTTGTTGTTCCCCACTTATAAATAACAAGTATTTAATCGCACCCACTTATCAAAAGTAGTTTCAATTGAAATGTAATAAATTAATGAATATTCAATAACCAATTGAGTATCATCGAGTGATATAGACGCTGAAATAGGTCAGACAAATTCATGGTTGCGTGGTTAGATAAATTTGGTTACTTAATAGGACTAACTATATGGAAAACAATAATACGAAATAGGTTTGCTACCTTTTTCTAAGCATTTTACAATTTCTAAATCAAGTTGCAAGAAAAGGCGGACACAATCTCTTGGCACCTGGCTTTTATAGACACACCCAGAATATACACACATTGACACAAAGGACATCTGACGCGTGACATGGCCCGTCATTACACTACAAACATTACGGTGTTGCAAGTACACGCACACATAAATACACCACTGACATTTTGGTGCTTCAATCATTTTCAAGTGACATTACGTCCGCCTTTTTTTAACGTCCTTATCCTAAATAAATTAATTACCTCTCCTCGTTTTTTTACAAATGAACTTTGAAATGAGCCGAAGGTACACACGGTCACACATCAATCTATAAAAAACCAGTTTACCCTGGTGTCGCGTCGCATCATCTTTCCACACATTTAACGTTCAGTTTATACTGGTTATGTAAAGCTCGATGTGTAGCCGTGTGTACATGCTATTTTAAAACTTTGGTTGTAAAATTCATTATTTGACTAGTAAAATAGAGTGAATCTCAATCAATCAACCACTATAATAGTTTATTAGTCGAGACACTAAGGTTAATTTCTGACATTATTATGCGAATTCTTTACGACAATAAATACATTCCTTCATTGAATACAAAAATCGCCCACTCACCTCCGACCGGAGCAGCAAAGCATGAAGCAACTCCCACTGCGCAGGCCGCAGCCAGCATCTCACTGGTCCTCGACTCGTTGGAGTAGATCCCTTGGAAGGTCGTCACCAGCTTCGAGAGGAGTGTCGCCACCATTGATGCTATGTGGACTGATGGGCCCTGGTTGTGAAAGGAGATTTGATTTAATTTTGGAAGTTATTTCAGGGCATTGCAGTTCTACAGCGGACGACTAATAGCTCCGAATTTTTTTTAGGTAATAACTAATTTATATCATTTTTTTCGGTCACGTCGCATCGTAGAGACTCAGCACTCGTAAAGATATTATAAAAATTTTTTTACAAGACAGCAAAATGTAATGGTTTTCCAAAGCCTGTTCATCGATACTAACCTCTTTACCAAGTGGCAGACCAGACCCCAGTGTAGCAGTGAGACCAACGATCTTGGATATCATGGCTCTGTAAGTGAGGTACTCCTTTAGGTGCACTCCTCGGAGAATGGTCTTCATTTCAGGTATACCTGAACCTGTGGGACAAAGGGGGAGGTTGACGAGGTAAATGCTGATGAGAATGATGCAAAGTGGCAATTTTCCAAGTGTTCTATTATGTTCTACTCTATATTGTTAGTTTGACTGCTGATTGAGAATATTATTTAGTGCTTATTTAGCTAAATAGTTGCTTATTAAAGATGTAGCTACATTTAGTTTTACAGGGAAAACATTGTAGCTATACGACGAGAGAAAATTGTCTTCAATCTATTGACTAGCCCCCTACCATATTTTTTTAGTTTTTAGTTAGATAATAGGGACTAACCCTAGCTTCAAACCTGATAAGCTGTTCAATTCTTCATACCTCACATTTTACTTGTTAATTTGTAAAATACATTCGATATCTTACCTATACTCTGTGCAGCAACTATGTGTACGAATCCGGCGGCGAACAGTATGAGGCAGACTGGCAGAGACACCCAGGCTACGTACTGGCTGAATGTAGACGTCGCCAGGTCCTTGTACATCCACATACGTGCTGGAATGTACGTTATTACAGTTGTTATTCCACCCAATAGTTGGCAATTTATCTTTAAGCATGATTACATTATTTGTATTAATTCGATTGTGAATTAATTTTAAACTTTTTGAAATCAACGAAATACAAAAAAAACAATCATTTATATTGAGAATAATGAGAACTGAAATAGGATACTTACAATTAAGTTATTATCCTTTAATAGAAGCATGAAAAGATGTTTAGACATTAAACCAATTTGTATAATTATACACATTATTAAAAAGCCTCATCAATAATTGTTAGCAATAAGTTGTAAAAAATAAATTTTCTACTTTTAATTTTTAACTGCTTTATTTCTACCCAGCTGTTATTTTTCAAACAATTGACTTACAAAAGACAGGAGGAGGAGGAGGAGGACACAGGATAGGAGAAACTCTTACCATTCTGACATACAGCGATCCCCCTGTCCATAGCAAAGTTGACAACCGCCATGATGATGCCCAGCAGAGCCAGGAACACCCAGTCCTCGCCCAGCCGAGCGAACGTGTGCCTCCATACATAACCTGCACCAAACTTCATGCACGTGATTATTTATCATCAGAGAACGTGCAAATTATTGCAGAGGATAGATGGCACTCTCCACCTAAGATGGTGACGCTCAGCCAAATCTAGTCGAAATTTGCTGATTGGCTACTTGGCAAATGTGCAGACCATAAAATAAATTGGAAAAAGGTAGAAGAATGAGAGAGGAGTTATGAAACCCTTGAAGTATCTTGGACGTCTAAAAAAAATGAAATGGAAATTGCTTTAAATATATGCAGATTTGTCGTCATATCTAGATAAGATAATCAAATGGTAGTGAAAGATGAAGTAGAGATAGCGAAGGCTACAGTTTAGTCACCACCCTTACCATCGCATCTCCTTCAGCAGAGACCGGAGTAGCAACAGTCTTTGATAAACTTGAAAATTTTAAACTGTAAACTTCATGTCTCCTGTCGAGGGCAGATACTATGGCAAACTGTCTGGTGATGATTTTACTTCAAAAGACCAAATAAGACTCTTTCTTCTTGTAAATATCTTCAAGGAGACTCACCTAATACTTTAAAGAATTTCCCCCTAGGTCTGTGTTTGCCGCTTGCTTCCAACTCCTTCTGTCGGAGTTTGTCGTCTTTTCTTCTCTTCTTCCGTAGTCTTCTGAGTCTCCTTGCTTCTTCTCTAGCTGCTTCGCTCAGGTCGCGTTGATAGCGACCATACATCTGTGGAAAGAAAGGAGTTTTAATCATTTTGTTTGATATTTTGTCCTAAGCTTGATCCTAATATTTCTGAATAGTAGTAAATAGTAAATATGGTTTTACCTAGTTATAAGTTTGATACTTGTACCACTATGATTATCACGCATAAAATATTTTGAATAGCATATTGTAGAAATTGAATTAAATTTTGTTAGGTACCTAGGTAGATTTTTGGCCAGTGATAGTTAAAATACTTGACGGTTAACTGCCAATTTCAATCACCTATCTAATTAAAAAAAATACGGATTAGAATTGATTTTTGACAGAAACACCGTATGGTGTTGTAAGATTAGTTGTATAACTAATGTTAGAAATTGATCCATAACTACAGATTTTGGATTCAAAGTCAAAGTCAAAGCATTTATTGCAATTAATACTTAATTAGGCACTTTTGAAACGTCAAAAAATATATGTGTCTGTCAATGAAGCTAGGCTCTTGTTCCAAAGTATTGTTTCGAATGGAGAAACACGAGAAAAAACTCTATCGCTACTCTTTAAAAAAATGTTTGTTTGTTTAAATAATTGAGATAGGTTATTGAAATCGGCAGTAAGGGAGGCTCTTCAAAACGTAGTAGAAATGGGAGGTTCTTGGATCCTTAAATAACGGGTAAATCAGCAGACGGCAAGTTTGATTCGACTGCACGGTTGACCCGGAGGCTGGGCAAAAGACTGCCGCGCAACATGTAGCGGGTTTAATTCCTGCACAGAGCAACTCTTTGTGTGATCTACAAATTGTTGTTCTGAGTGTGGGTGTAATGTATATGTGAACTTGTATGTTTGTAAGCGCGACCACGACACAGGCGAAAATACTAGTGTGTGGAACCGTATTTTTTTTTTAAATTAACCTCATTTCTAGAGCAATATTAAGAAAGAAACGAAGTAACTATTAATAAAAAAAAGCGCACTTAGAATTCACTGCGTCACCTACCACAACCCTGCTGCCTCTTTCAACAATATCCTCCGAATCCATTTTGAGACACAACCAATAAAAGCTAATTACAGATTACATTTTTTCAGCCGACTACTGAATACCGTTACAGTGAAAATACTGACATTCTGAATTACGGCAATAGAGCCTTGAATCCTTTCATGTTTACAGTAGCTATCAGATTATCGCTAATGTATAACTAAGATAATTAATTTATCCGAAAATACCTGTTTGACTTTTTAATATTTTTAGCTAATATTTGGTGGATTATCTTTAGGCATTTAACCTTAGAGTTAATTAGGGCATATGATTTAGGACATGATTGTTCGCTCCTCTCAGGGCACAGATCAAAGTTGTGTAGCACGTAAATCCCAAAAAAAAGTAAATTAGAACCATGTTTGTGGCCCAGTTGGCCAAAATTTTTTATATAAAAATGGTAAGAGTTTTCCAGAAATAATGAAATAACGAGTATTTTGAGATAGTTAATTTTTTTTTAAGTTACGACTATTATATCTCGATGATATTTCATATTTTTTTATATTTGATGGGCCGACGTTTGACCACTATCTCGCCTAGGGGTAAGTGAGATCAACCGCGTATCCTGTTCCTGAGTATCACAGTTTGATGGTGGAGAGTTAATTCTTCAAAAAACTGTTTGAATTTGACAATTTGTATTGTTTCACATCAGCGAAATTTGCATCAGTAAAATATTGATATACCCAGAGAAAATAAGAAGCTCTTCAAATAAATCAAAAACTTCAGCCCTTTTACATCAGCAACGTTCGGTTAGGAGGTGTCCTATTTATTATTATGTTTAGGTACATAGGCGAATGAATCATGGAATTTTCTAAAAAATCTTGGCCAGTACAAAGGTATGAAACGGCTTAGCATTAATCCGTAGATAAACCAAAAATCAAAACAAATACAAATCTTATCAGTAAAAGCGGGTAGTCAGCAATGGCCTTGTTTAACTATCTCCTGTCGATATATATCTACAACATTTTGTTATGTACTGACGGACAGACAAACTTCGAGAGGACTACAATTACAGTATACCCTTTTTTTGAGGGGGGAAAATCATCCAATAACTTTTCCCACCTTTGGTTAGGCGAGAAGGAGTGTCAGACTCTTACTGACTAAAAACCACCCCGTTCCTACTCCTGCTCTTCAAGTCGGAGCCCCGGCAACCCGTTAGGCATTCCGCGGCTTCGTAATACCCTTAGAATACTTATATTGTTTAAATAATCTAAGAAAAGAAACATAAAAGGTACACCCTTTTATGTTACTATTATTTTACCTAAGCAATTTCCCATTAAGTAATTAAAAAGGTTGATACGTTTTGCAAAATACACGTTGCTGATAGTGTGCAATGATGAAATTAAAAAAAAAAAATTATTAGCCCAAGTACAAGGGGCAAATTTATTTAAAAATCTGGTTACAGAATACACAATATTCATAAAAAAAACAATAATCCTTTTTCCAAAGCACAGATCGCCTTGTGCTGTCGCACCTGCAGCAAATATTTCTCACGATTTTATAAAATGGCCGCTTACAAACCGAAATCAGGCGTAAACACTAGTGCTGTGTAAATCATGTGCTTTCATGTCCTACTAACATTTTGATTGAATTACAAGGCGATTCGACAATAACACATGTTCTGATTTACGATAACTTGTGTCCGATACTATGTACATTTAGGTACTTGAATGTATCAAGGTGTTTAGTGAATCGTTACTGTTCTAATGTAGTGTAGAACATGGCAACTAAGTATCTAGTTTTCATGCTTAAAATATGTAGAAAAATCTAGATGAATAGCATGAATAATATTACTAAAATTTCTGTAGTCAGAATCTACATTAGACCAAAACCACGCGGGCCTGCGGACGGCGAGCATGGTTGGCGCGCCGCCCGACCAGAAACAGACCCGAGCGTACGGCGCGTCGCGTTCCGCGCGCCTCAAAGAGCCATTAGACCACCACGGATGGGGCCCAATAGGGCTGATGCCGATTCGGAGTCGCGGAGAACCTAACGGGTTACCGAGGCTCCGGCTCGAAGTGCAGGAGTAGGAACGGGGTGGTTTTCAGTCAATAAGAGTCTGACACTCCCTCCCGCCTCACCTAGGCGGGAGAAGTCATTCGATGATTTTCCCCCCTTAAAAAATAAAACCCAAATCACAGAAACAATGATGCTCTATAGTTTCCACTACTTTCTGTATTTAGTCGGCTAAGAAAGGACTGCTACACGTTAACGGCATATTCACAAATGGGTTCTGTTCTATTTATCTAAAGCCCTTCCAAGTTTGTAAAGTGTTAAGAGAAAATAAAGAAAAGACATAACTAAAAAAGCCATAAAACATCTGTCACTTTCTCACGTCATTATGTGACGAGGAACTCGACTAGTCTCAAGCCATACTAGAGGCATTCATGTCGTCAGTACAGTCGCCGCGTCGCAGGTCTTTGAATGCTGCTCATGAATATGAGCCTCTCGCATGGCTTGAAACTAGTCAAGTTCCTCGTCAAATAATTACGTGAGTAAGCCGAAAAACATAATAATTAATTTAGTATGTCGCACGAAAGTAATAATACAACCAGTGTCACACTTTATTATGTTATGGTTTATCCAAAATGACATCGGCGATCGACCCCGTGGAGGTGCTAAGTTATTTAGCGACTGACGGCATTGGCCATTGTTAGTCTAAAACGTGACACGGATTACATACTATTGTATCTAGTATCAATATTATTATATGTTGAAGATATGTAATATTTGTCACTGGTGCTGTGTATCGCTATTTTATAGACCAAGAGAGATTTAGACTTATAAAGGGTTATGCTAAAGAACTTAGGGGTATATTGTCTACATTAAAACTTTCGTGAGACATACTAAATTAATTCTTATGTTTTTCGGTTTAATCACGTAATTGTTTGAAGAGGAACTCGACTAGGTTTAAGTTATGGTAGAGACTCATATTCATGAGCAGCATTCCGCGACCCGCGACCTGGTGACTGTCGCGCTGCTACTGCTTTCGAGCAGTTACGTGAGTAAACCGAAAACATAATAACAAACTTAGGTCGTTATGCAGATACAGACACGACTTTTACTGATGAAGAAACTACTTCAAAGTCAAAGTCAAAATCATTTATTTCAATTAGACTAGAAAGGCACTGAAGAAGTGAAGCTAGTTGCTCATTCCAAGGCGTAGATTCCTATGGAGAAGAACGAGCAAGAAACTCCATAGGTTACTCTGAAGGAACTCCTTAATTTTTACTTGTTTTCAGTAAGAAGAAGGATTCCATAGGAGACAATTCTTGAAGATGAGGAGTCAAACCAAAAAAGTTAGAACGTTTTCGATTGCTTTGATTATTTTGATTATTTTTTTGATTATTTTAGAATAAGGTTAGTAACTTCCTAATACTATAAATACGAAAGTTTGTGTGTCTGTGTGTATGTTTGTTACGTGGTTGACCACGTCAAAACAACTGAAGGGATCACGGAAGGGGTCGGAATAAAATTTGGAACAGGGACTTCTAACAAAGACTTCTCACCTATCAGTGGGTGTGTAATATGTAAGCTATAAGTACGTATGACCAATAGTAGTTATTTTTTGCTTTTTAGCTATTACTTTTCGTTTGTTTTTAGTTTTTGTCTTTTTTATAAATACTACACAAAATATTCCAGAAACATAAAAATCTCAACCGAAGAGCTTCTTGAGCAGATAAATTCAAGAAATAAATTATATTGAAACAACCTTAAGCCCTATTGAAAACTTGTTTGACTGCGTCCCCAGACCTCAAGGGTCGACTCGTATACTTTTGGTTGTAACTTGAACCTGTTTCACCAAGTAAGGGACCATGACGCTTGAGTATACTCCATCCATGTTTACTCGTTACGTAATCGACTCTTTCGGATTTTGGATGTGGTATTTGAAGATGTCTTTTTTTTCTCTTCCAAGAGTTTATTATACAGAAATCTTACTAACATAACATAACATCACGGCTTTTTATCCCCGAAGGGGTAGGTAGTGCACATTGCCACC